AGACGGCTCCGTTCAAAATGTTCTCGGCTATGGTCTAATTTTTTTTCTCGCCCCCACGCCTCAGCCCCTACTCCGATAACGTCCTTAAACTGTGTAATCTTGGAACACATGGCCTTAAAAAAAACAGGTAGAGAACATACGCGCTAATGTGTGAATATGGTATCAGAAAAAAGTTAACATGTGGCGTTTAAGGATAAAAGCCCCTTTTTTCACGTTTAGTAAGTCGCCACAACCTCTCTTCATCGCTCACGGTGAGATAGATAAGCAAAGAATATCGCGATAAAACCTTTTTTCAATTATACGAATACTAAAAATTTTTAATTAACACGAAATGTTACTGGCTTGCGGGATAGTAAAGTATTTAATTTTTGTTAGTTGATCTTCCCTCTTTCGGAAACCGAATTTAAACAGCAGTTTAAAGAATATCTAACGTATCGCTTGGTCAGCAATCAATTAATATTTGCCATAACGTCGAATTTGTATCTTGTTAAAATTTTATATACATACAACTAGTTTTCTCTGACAAAGATACCGGAGAATAAATCATTCCAGACATTATTTCTGGCTACGTCAATTTGTTCAAGTTCAAAATATCTTTATTAACATGTGCGTTCTTATGATGCGTTAAAGTTTTACATAAAAATTAATACTATATTTACATAAATAAACATACGTTCGTAAGTAAGGTACCACCGGTTCGGAAAGCAGTTTCTGTTGAGATGAATCCGGCAAGAAACTCAACAGTTGCCCTATTTTTTAAATATCAGTTTACAATATAACATTAAGGTATAATAGTCTTAGTTTACCCTACGTGAGTATCAACAGCATTAACAGGCAACACATTGGCGTCGTCAAGATTATATTCCGCAATTTTATAATATGCTTAGCCATAAGTTTACTTCTGCGGCATAGACAAGAATAAATAGTTTTAATAACGAATAGACTTTCGTGGAAGAATTTTTGTCAACTCAAACATTATTATTAACAAAAATCCAAACCGACTTCAAATACCTCACTCATAGTGAGGCACAGTGAGACATTTCCCAACAGATTTTGTGGCGTTCCTTGACGTATCTTCGGAACCCAAGGTTCAATACCAATGAAATTGGTAACACCACATGACAAACCCAATACAAAGATTTAAAATCGGTCCATAAATGACGGGAGCCATAAATGAGTTCATAAGTGAGATTGTGGCAAACAAAAAAAATATCGAATTGAGCACCTCCCCCATTTTCGAAGTCGGCTGAAAATTACGTTACGCTAACCTTTTGCGAACGAACTGTCATTAGGCTTGATCGAATACAAAACTGGTGATTTGGAACCTTTACAAAATGTAATGAAACATGAAATGTGCTATGTCATGACGCATAATTGGCACTTTGTAAGTGCCGGTGGGGTGACGGTTGAGCGGGCGAGCTATGCGACACAGTGCCGCAAGTTGAGTCGCGTACGTCACTGATGTCACTTTAGTTACCTAACATTTAAGTTTATGACAGGCCCGGCACGCGTGTTGCCCGCAAATAAAACTGCCCGTATAAGTCACATAAAATAGAAAATTAAAGAAGTTTTAAAAAAATAAGCAATAATAATAATGTGGACAACAGACATAAGTGAAAAGTACAAATTGTTATAATAACTGGGCTTCTCTTTTGTTTTTAAATGTATTGTAGTATAATAAAAAACACAAAATACTAATTTAAATTGCCTAATACCTTCATTTCTGACAATTTAAGAAATTAACGAAAATTTTATGCATTTCAATGTTTTATAAATTTCTATAGAATTTGGAGATTAAAAATGCGCAACAATAATTCATATTTAACAAATAGACATTCGTTTTACATTTATCAAATATTAGAAAGCCAAATGATACCAAATTTTATTGCATTCTAAACGTAAGCTTATTGATAAAGTACTTGGAGGACCGGAAATAAAAAGTTTTGGGACCGCTCGATTACCGACCGAGCTATTAAAACATTTTTTTTGCGGCGAAATTTACCGTCATATTCGAATGATATTTTTCATTCTATGAAAACAGGGATAAAAGGACATTTCTTAAAAATGAAACCTAGCTAGATCATTTAAATCGCTGGAGCCGTTTCCGAGATTCCGATATATATATATATATATATATATATATATATATATATATATATACATTTTATATATATATCAGTTGATTTTTAATTTTACATTTAAATTGGTCAAGCGGCAGACTTAATATCGACTGTGGGATTTTATTATACATGCGCACACTTTGCCCCATGAACGACTTATTTACTTTTTGTAGACGAAACAATGGCGTAGTAAGTTTGTCCTTATTTCTAGTGTTTATTTTGTTATTTAAGCTAGTGCTATTCAGTGGGTTAAAGTTAGATTAGTTAAGAGATAATGTGCGATTTATCGGACAAATCTTTACATCAAAAGGGAAACTCAAAGAATTGAGCGAAAAGTAAGTGATTTTTATTAAATGTAATCTTGCTTATAGTCTAGTCAACAAGTGCTTTTTTAACGCAAACCTCTTTAACTTCACGAAAATTATGGTTTTATATGGCACAAGAGAAATACATAATCTGTGAAAATTTCAACTGTCTAACTATCACCATTACGACATGAGATACAACGTGGAGCCTGGTGACAGACGGACAGACTGACAGACAGACAGCGGAGTCTTAGTAATAAGGGTTCCGTTTTACCCTTTGGGTACGGAACTTAAAATAAAATAGAATATTAAGGAATAAAAAATATAGTTCTTTCTAGACAAATGAATAAATAATAATACGACGAAAAAACATTAAGATTATTTCTATGTAGTCTAACCCAGAAAAGAGTTAAGAGTTTAGAAAATTCTAATTTTTCATTGTTTTATTGCCAATCTAAGGCATTGAAACATGAAAAACGTTAATAAATCAATCAAGATTTTTTAAATTTTTTGATTATTCTGTTCCTGTAAAAAAATTACTTGAATTGTTAAAATAATTATTATAAACATGTATTAAACATTGTTTATAAGATTTTCAATTTTCTTCTTTTAGGAATATGATGCTTAATGAAAATATGACATTTAAGAAAAAAATTTTTCACTGCTAAAAAATAACTAACTTTTTCTAAATTACAATTTTTTGTTGCTTTGTGTTAACATTATGGAACCATTTTATTAAAATCATAATTTATCACGTTGTTACATCATAAAAAAATATAATTTAATTCATTTTTATTTGGTTTTGTGAATAGACGATTGTTTATAAACAAATGAATTACGAAAGTTTTGTTTATTATTTTTCTGTTTTTTATATAATTTTTAAAATTATTGTACACTTGGACTTGTTGTTACCTATCAGGTATTCTCCATTGCTATTAAAATTACTTATAAACTATTGAAGATACGGCTAGAACACTCCCAAGTCTTATTTATTCTTCAACATTATTTTTTAAATTTTGAATTAGAAGTACATTCATTGTATACATGAATTAAATAATTAAGTGTTGAGTATTGATACCAATATTTTTTTTATTAATTATTATATGTAAATTCTTAAATAATCTATCACGCGCGCAACGAATTTACGTTAAAATATAATGGTTGTATTGCACGTGAATCTGAAAAGCGCGCGAGCGCTAGATATTGCTGGCCCTTTAAAGCATGTATTCCAACAAATATCACATTCAAGAGATACAATAATTCTTCTTAATAAGTAGGTACTGACGTAAAGTGATGATTTCAACCAATGAATGCTGCTGTGATCTGTGATTCGTACGTTTGAATTGGATCAAATAAGTACGGAGTGGATTTGTATAAATTGTAGCTACTTTCAAAACGATATTGACGAGGATTTGTTGATCCGAATGGAGCCACTAAATCACATACATGTGGTATTGGATCAACAAATCGGGTATGGATCAACAAATTTAAGCGGATCAACAAAAAACTTATCATACGTAACGCTGGATCAAACAACTCCTAGAACGGATAACTATATATATATATATATATATATATATATATATATACAAGAATTGCTCGTTTAAAGGATAAGATTAAACGCGTAAGTGTATCAAGTAAATATTTAAATAGTTCAAAACAATCGAGACAAGTTTGTCCTATTTGAAACCGAAAGTACGGCCGCCTACATAGGTTTTGTGGTGTAAAGGCACCGTCTATGTCAGACGGGGTCCAGTTTCTATTAGTTTTCGAATGCCCTTCAACGGTACGAGTTCAACTTTGAAACATTCCAAGATCAAGAACTGCCCGAACTAATTACTTAGAGGGTCGCTGGTAAGATCTCACGGAGAATATAGGGCTTGGGAAATATTTTTGACTGTTGTGAAACTTTTAATTGGGGCGAAGACTTAATATTTTTTTTATGTGAAAAGTGGCCAAACGAGCAGGTTGTTCACCTGATGTTAAGTGCAATAAGGGTTTGCAGATGCGGTGACAACCTTTTGAAAATTGGGCTCCGGCTACCTCACTCACCAGACGAAACGCGAAAGTATTATACTTCCACTTTACGCCTGTCTTCTGTGAGGTTGTGGTACTTACCCGGACGGGCATGCCCATTCGTGCAACAGCCGGGGCTGCTGCGTGGCCCTACCACCGTTTAATTTAAAATATCTTAAACATAAACAGGTTGGCATTTGCAACATGGAGCTGTAATGGCTATAAATGGCTCATGGCTTCTTAAAAGCAACTATAGACGCGAGCACCGGAAGTGATACGTTAACTGTTTCGCAACTGGTCGTTCATCCAGCGAAACTTGATTATGTAAAATGTCCTTTACAGCACAGGATAATTTTATCCTACAGTATTACGAAAAACACAATCCCCGCACTAACGTACTTAATGAATCCCAAAACGTCATGAGATGGCACAATCGCCGTACGCAATACGAGAGAAACATTTACATTTTTGACGACGTAGACGCGACATCGCCGACCACGCCAACCATCTCTCTAGTTTTGACGGATGCTGAACAATTATAATAAGTACAAAGTCCTACCTTATCGGCTTCGATGTCTCTAGCTCCGTCGGCGGTGGCGGTGGCGGCGGCGGGGGCGGAGGGGCGAGCGGAGCGCTCTGGGCGAGCGGAGGCGGGGGCGGGGGCGGGGGTGGTGACGGCAGCGCCGGCGGGAGCGGGGGCGGCGCGTCCGGAACATCCGGCAGCGGGGCGGCGGCCGGGCCCCCGACGTCCGGCAGCTCGCCCAAGTCCAGCTCCGGGATGTCCGGAACCGGGGGCGCGCAGGGGGAGGTGACGACGGACGGCGCAATAGAGCCGTCCGCCGTGAACGAGAACTGCACGTCGCCCGCCACGCCCGGCAGGTGGGGCAGGTCGAGGGGCATGTCCAGCTCCGGCACCTGACGCGGTGGAAATTGCACTTACATTATAAGCGCGGAGGTTTTTTAGAGAGCGAGATCGTTACCTCTTTTCGCTAATGGCTGATATATTTGGTATGTTTACAGTGCGTAAAGTGGATTAATGCGCTTTTTGCAGTGTGGTTATGATTTTATTCAGGCTGGGGATAACCCGCTGTTGTAATAATTATGTGCCTGGTTCATCTAACGTTCCCCTATTTAAGAATACAAAAAGCTGGCATTGTACGCCAATCAACATAGCGTTCTTTCATTATCTGATGATAACGAAGGTCAGGAGTCATGGCAAGACGAGTCTAAGTACAATTTAATTCTACATACAGTAAAAAAAAATATGATGGAATCATGTTCTTGAGAAATATAAGAAGAATTCATATAATAGTTCAGTTCTTCAATTGTACGTGGTTAAGCCTACTTGAAAAAACCATAACTTCAAATTGATTACAACAGAATGCAAATCATTACATTCATTCGCGTATTAATTTTCTGTATTCAGTAACGGCGGATAAGTAAACAAACTAATACGCACATCTTATACACATCGCAATATCAATTAATATGTTTACGACGTTTTTGTGCCATATCAATTAACAATAACGTTTAAAGGCCTACAGGAATGTTCGTAACTGTTTACCATGGATCCCGACCGCCGCAAGTTTGTAGCCATTAAAAAGGGTTATGTAAATTTTATGCAGGCTGTGCATTCACGGAATAACGACGACTATTATATTTTTTAATATTTATTCGGTACAATGAAGGGGAGAACCGCCTGTTATGGGGAAGTCCTTTGACTCAACATCTGATGAGACGAGCTATGCAACTGATCTTATCCTTTAAACGAGCAATTCTTATATATATATATATATATATATATATATATATAATCGGAATCTCGGAAACGGCTCAAGCGATTTTCATGAAATTTAGTATGTGATATTAGATTCGGGGGCGAAAAATCGATCTAGCTAGGTTTCATTTTTAGAAAATGTCCTTTTATCCCTGTTTTCAGGTAATGTATTATCATTCGAATATGACGGTAAATTTCGCCGCAAAAGAAAATGTTATAATAGCTAGGTCGGGCTAATAAATCGAGCGGCCCCAAAACAGACAGCCGCGGTTCGTATCACGATCAACACACTTAATTTTTTTACTTTTTTCTTCTATACCAGATCATTTTCTTTATTTTTTCTTTTTTTATTTCCAAAATTCATGATTTACCAAAAAAAACCGGTCCTCCAGGTACTAATCTGTTACGTGCGTTCGTTTTCATGAATTATTTGTAGGAAATGCTTCAAAGATAACTTTTTACATTTGTATGAATAAGATTATTAAAAACACGAGTAAATAAAACGCCAATGAAAAGTGTAGGACGTTGCTATGAGAATGTTACAAACAGGATCTAAGGTGTAACTTAAGGCCCATTTACACGATGCCATTTTCTTGTACATACAAGAGCAATAATTGAATGCAATAAATTGCGCGCAATAATTGTTTAGACAATTTGTTGTTTAGACCATGCAACTCATTTATTGCTTCAATTTAATTGTATACAACAGGCAAGAAACTGGCACCATGTAAATGGGTCTTTAGTCTCTTTTGTATTTCATGGGTATAGTCGGATTTACGCACTGGATTACGTTTTTGTTATCGCAAATATTTAGGCACTAATATAACGCATCTAATAATATAGAATAAATCGATAATGGTGCGAATAGGTTCCTAAATGCAACCACCGGATTGCTGACTCTTTTATTTTATTTTCATAAACATAAACGAAGTTGGAATGTAGGTTTTGAAAAAGAGCCGAATCAAAAAAGCAGTTTGTTTACATGCTGAAATGCCTGGAAAGGGGTTAGTTTTCAAAGAGATCCGTAAGTTCAAAAGATTCTTAAAGAATACCTGATGATTTAAAAAAAGAATCGGCCATTTGTGACGTATGCCTGGGTTTTTTTTAAATCCATCGAAAAGGGAACTCATTAATCATCTTAAGGTTGCCTGAAAGAAATTGCTACCTTAGCAATAAGGTCGCTTATATGTACACTTTTATTTTCTTTCTATGTGTTTCCTTGTGTGCATATTACATATATTCAAATTTTTAATTGACTATATAAAACGTTTAGCGCTTACCATTCCCATGCCCGGCGCGTACATGTATTCGTCCGCCTCCCGTTTCAGTACATTCCTCTTGAGTATCGACGGCGGCGCGTCGTCCAGCGCCACCTTACTCTCGACGCCGGTGACCACCCGTGGCACGTAAGCGGTCTGCTTGGTCACACTGCGGACGTACGGCGTCTCGTCGGTGTTGAAAATGAGTAGGTCCCCTACCGTTGAAGCGTCTTCTAGCGCAGATTGCAAATCGTGTTCCGGCTGGGGCTCCGTGTCTTTCGTGTCGGCGACTTTCACGTGGTAGAAGTGTAGTTTCTCCTGCGGACGAAGGAAGCTCTAATAGTGACGGACGTTAGACAGTGGTAGGGGTGGAGAACCTGTGGAACTGCGTGGAACCGGCTGCCGCCGCAGGTCTTTCCGGACGTTTACGACCTCGGAATATTCAAGAAGAGTGCACATTCTTTTCTAAAAAGCCTGCAACGCATTTAACTAATAAAAAAGACGTAACGTTAGACTCCTGGGAGATCTGTGACATTTGGCATTAAGTCCACCTATGTATTTTTGTGCATAAAGCAGTATTAAATAATAAATAAACAACAAACATAACTATGGTAGGACCAAGCAACAATGTACGTTGTTTCACGTATGGGCAGGTCCGTCCGGGTAAATACCACGAGCTCACAGAAGACCGGCGTGAAGTAGAAGTGTTACTCTTCTGCGTTTCGTCTGCTGAGTGAGGTAGTCTGGGCCCACTTTATTTAAAGTTGGCAACGCATCAGCAACTCTAATGGTGTTGCAGATGTTCATGGGCGGCGGTGACCATTTATCATCAGCTGAGCCTCCTGCCCGTTTGCCCCTTTTTTCCATATGAAAAAAAGTAAATGGGGAAGGGGCGGCTGTATCTTTTTCCGTATCTTTGCCAGTATCTTTTCTGTATCTTTATCTCGTGCGTGTATCTTACCTGTATCTTTTTCTCGTTCGACTGCCTCCGAGCGTTTCCGCTTAGCGCGACCTTGCGGGGCCGGTGCGTGTAGCAGTCCAGGTCGAAGACGGACTTGTAGTGGCTGTGAACAATCGACGTCGGGTACTTGGCGCTGGAGAACACCTTTATGGCTTTCTGCATGCCATTGAGCTTGTCGACCTTAGCCCTGGATGTTTCAATGCGCTTCCTCAATTGTTCGGTTCTGTCCATATTCCGTTGGACCCTGAGCGTCACGCGTGCGGACACGTCGTCGACTATACCGTTGAGGTTGTCGAGGGTCTCGGCTACCTGCAGTATGCTCTCTTCCATGCTCAGGTCGTTCGGTATCAAATTGACTTTGTAGATACCCTCCATTGTTGACTATTGTATGAGCGTGGATATTATCTGCAACAAGCAAAGTCGCGTCTGCATTCACATGACAAAAACGTAACTATTTAGAACATCCATCCACTCTCATGCGCCGTCCATAGGAATTTAACGGGGAGAGTACAAAATTTGTCTTCACTGTTAGTCCTATTCTAGAGAAACAGCATTACATTTCTTAAACTATTATATAAATAATACTGAGGAAATCTTACCCACTAAACTTCTTTAAGATCACCTAAAATAAATTAATAAGGCACAAGAATTATCACTAGACGACACATCCACTTTCTTGTGTTAAATAAAGTAGTAATATGTCCAATATAGCACTCGATAAAGCTAGTTAAGTTCAATATTTACAATTCAGTCACTAAAGAGTCTATTTATATCAGTACTGTGTCACTATCCTACGGGGTGGTTGACTCAATTCTTGTTGGGGTTTATCGTGGGCGCGTCGGCGAGTAGCGAATGGAGGTTGTCGTTCGCGGGGTCCGTGCTCCACGAGAAGCGGCAGTACGCGTCGGGCGACATCGTCGGGTCCAAAATGGCCGACTCTTCAGCCAGCTGCCCGGCGGAGAGCATGTTGTTCAGGTGCTTGTTTATCACCACGTCGCCGGGGCTCACGTAGCCGGTAGAAGCTGAGGGCTTCAACGGCACGGCGCTTCGCACGCTCGACTTGAGACTAGGGACCGCGTCCAGCGACTGCAGCTGGATGTAGCTGCTGTCCGCGCCGGGTTTCGCGGGCGGCGGCAAGGTGGGCATCGTCGGCAGGCTCTCCGGCCCCAGGAGCTTCGTGGGTGACGTGACCAGTTTGGGGAAGGCCAGCGTGGACTTCGGCTGGGCGTCTTCCGGCCTCACGTAGCCGGAGGAGGGGGGCGGGTGGCTCGGCAGACCGGCAGACACGCCCGTGGTGAATATCGGCGGCGTCAGACCGGCCATTACGTAGCTGGAGCCGGCGGGCGCTGTGGCGGTTTGCAGAGACGCCTTCAGAGGGGCCGGCGCCGACTGCACGTAGCCGGTCGTCGGGCTCACCACCGATTGCACGTAGCCGCTGGTGGGGTCCTTCTTGAAGCCGTCACCGCCATAGCACGGCGTGTTCTCCACGAAGCTCTCCGCGTCGTCGTTTGAAGAGTCCTCTTCTGGATTGGTGTTGTTCTCGTCGTCTTTCGCCGCTTCCACTTCTATGTGGAGAGACGAGTCGGAACCGTCGTCGGAGGTCGACGCCTGTCTGTCAACAGGGCCCCGGGAGGAGTCTGATAAGCCGGTGCTGTCTGTGTGATCACTCGCCCCACAGTTGTCGTTCGTCTTCTGTTTGGTATCCGTGGACGAGACGGTAGTTTTACTGTTGGGCAGTAACAAGACCTCGTCTGATGATGGCTTATCATCTTTGCTAGTTGGATTCCAACCGCCAAAAGTATACTTTGATATGTCTTTCTCGGGTATTCCTAGTCCGTTCGGCAGTACCGGTTTGATGTCCTCCATTTTTCTGTATTTCTTATAAACTTTTATGGAACAGAACACAATGCCGATGAGAGCCATAACGGCCATTAAAATCAATGTCATGGCCAATCCATCTCTGCTTCTACAGGCTATTGTGCTGGGTTCACTCCATTCACCATAATATACATTGCTTCCTTGATCATTTGGCATCGTCAGATTAACGTTCTCCTTGTCGGCAAGAGCACCATGATATGGGTCGGTGTCCAAGTTGACAGCCCTCACTTGGTAAGTTTCACTTACAACAACTCCTTCACAATGTGTTATTTTGTATGATAAATCTGTTGCGTTCCTGATTTCAGGTTCTTGATCGTCCTTAATTCTTCTCACCTGATAATAATCAATTGTTCCTCCAGGTATTTCTGGTGGTTTCCATTGTAGTAGATCTGCGTTATTTATCACAGTTGGTGCTTTTAACCTGCTGGGTGGACCTATTCTCGTCCTAACAAAAATACCTTCAAACTTCCCAATTTTAGAGCACAATCCAATCGCAACATTACATGCTTGCACAGTCAATGAATAGTTAGTAAACCCCTGAAGCCCCCTCAGAGTCACAAGCCTTCGTGATGTGTCTGTCCCAGAAACATTATCAACATAAAACTCCTTTCCATAATTGTTTATCACATATTTACCAATATTTCCATTTCTATGCAGAGGTGGGTCCCAAGAAATGTTCATAGAATCGTTTTTCACATCAGATATTATAATATTTCTGGGACTGGTTGGAGTATCTTCTGATGTTGTTATGACAGCAGTTGCATTTTCAATTGTCTTCAAGCCATATATAGTATTCAAAGCTATTGTGAATTGGTAAGTGCGGAATGGGAGAAGATTTGTTATATTAATCTCCATTTTTGTAGGATCAGAAATGTAAACTGATTGGTTCCCAACATTTGCATCACATAAACTACTTGTTCTTATTACTGGGCAATATGTTATATTATATCCAGTGATAATCCCATCTTGCAAAGCGCAATCCATTAGCCACCACAACTTAACAAAAGATTTACCAGGTACATCATATTCCAAATGCACAGGAAAACCATACATGGCAATTCCATCTTTAGATATATCACATTTAGCCCAAATCATGCCACTGGTCTTAGAGCCATTATTGGCAGATATTGCAAATTGGTATCTATAGTCTCGAGGCAAATCAATTACATGATTGCTTTTATTGGATTCCAATACCATGAAGTCCAAACGGCCAGCACATATTTTAGTTGCATTATGGTGACACCAAAACAATGTGTAGTTATCTATCTTATCAATTCCTACCCAGGAAAGTTCATAGGTTCCATTCTCATAGGCAAGTTTGGTGAAGGAAGTGACATCTAGGGAATGTGTGTCCCTCACAGGTGGTATGTACAATTGGCTACTGTTTACCGATGGTCCATTCATATTGAGTGACCAAACTGATACTTCTAAGGCCTCCAAAGAGGCCACTTCAAGAAAAACATAACTCAAGCTCTTGTTTTTGTCAGGAAAAAGCGTCTGTGTCTTACCACGCTGTGAGATGAGTACTTTGTATGTAAAGTTTGCACCTGCCTCTTCATATTCCTCGAGCTGTTTCCAATACACATAAATAAGCCTATTGTTATTATAGATTGCCTGATTAAACCCCCCTGCTGTCATTTCGGGCGGCCTGGCAGGCCTTTCACTAGCCGTGTAAAACAAAATATAACTGAAATCAGACCAGAACTCATCACTAACAGCTTTCTTAGACTTTATATAGATTCTTACTTCATAAAGCATATGGGCATATGGCAAATTATTAAGATGAAATCGGTATGTCTTATTACTTGGTTGGAAGAAATGCAGCATCAACACTGTGGAAATAAGCATTATTATCAATTTTTGCTATTTGATACTCTATTCGGTGTTCCACACCACATGGAAGTAGGTCTACAACATTATTAGGGATACTCCACTGCAGAACAACACTATGCGTACCGTTGCTCAATACTTTCAAGTCAGCTGGAGGGTCTGGCTTGACCACTGAGAAATGATCAACAGTAAAATTCTGCTCATTACACCCAAACACATTACATGATTTCAGATTAAAATAGAATTCCTCTTCCTGCTGTCTGTATCGAGGTTGACTGCTGGTATTCCAAGTGCAATATCTAGTGTTATCAATCTTTTTAGCAATACATGGTTGTACAGCATTTCCATTAATTAAGAATGTGAGAGAGTAATTAATAATACTATGGGAATCTGGTGAAGTCCATGAACAGTTCAATACCTCGAGGTTTTTTGATAGGCAATTGAAGTCTGTGATGTTCTCTGGAGGCGAATCGACCAATACACGATTTGTACAGATCTTTTTCGTTTTTTTATTCTTACAATAGTATGTATTAACTTGCTTCTTTGGCTTTTCAATATACAAACGTCTTGTCGTGCTGTTTACAATTGTCGAAGGGAAAGGCTTTCCAGCTAATGTGAATTCGATGTCTTCAGAGGAGTAATTTTCAGCCACGCAAAATATTTCCAGAGGTTCTCCGTAAAGAACACTGACGTCACCTTGAGGGTATACGGCTACGGTAATATCTACTCCAAGGCATTTTGAAAATATACAAGGCAAACTTATGAAACACTTCACCAAAATGAACCATATCCACGATCGAAAGAGTGGCCCCTTCCTCGAACTGCACTTCGTTTTTCTATAACGAGTATCTAAACAATTATTTGCCATAACTAATATTGTCCTAAATGTCTATCGTTTGCCACAACATTACGATTTAGTCGGCTAGCCGTCGTTTCAATTTAATTACGAGAAACGATAAACACATTCCTTGTGTTTTTTATATCGCGAGCTAAATGGCGCACTGTAGTCCCGACACGATGACACAAGGTTGACTGACTAACTAAACTCAGCAAGTACACAACACACTTATTTATCTATCACCACTATTACCGTTGGAGTGAAAACATGTTTAAAGATCACTTTAGATTGCGCGACTGGAGTCCAGATGGACGTATGAAAAATTAATACGCCATAAATAGCGTAAGTACTTACATAAAATAGAAAGAAAAACTTTGGAGTAGGTATTTCCGAGTAGCACGAACTTCACTCCGTTTATCTGTCGAAAACAAATCAATAAATTAAAAAAAAGTTTTAATGTTGCCCTGTCTTAATCACATAATAATCATTGTGACATTATTATTATTATCTATAAACCTTATTATCTTGTAACTACACCATAATTATTTTAAAAATAATTAAATATCAACTCTAAATAATGAAATGTAATAATTTTCCGAAGTACATTAAATAATTTTAATATGTACTATACAAACCAAAAGACATGAGACATAATTTTTGAATATTGATAAAAACTGCAAATTAACTTATTTATTTTTTAGAAAATATAAAAAATACGTATTCAATAGTTACTTTCCATACAAATTGAAATTTTGAATTTTTGATGCATTTTCGAACAGTGCACAATGATCATTGTCAATGTCAATTGTCATCAATCAACTTCAAATTTTACATATATATATCGTGTTTACGGTTTTTTAGGCTTTTACATAATTATGAAATAAACAAGCTTCATATTGAAAATATACAACTATGTAAATTTATTATAGTATAATGGATGATGATATTAAACAACACATACTCGGATATTCAACTAAAGAAGCTTTAATTAAGTTACGAAGTGACATAAATAGTGTTATAGAAGAACACAAACAGAAGAATCTTAAGGGGTAATAAGTATATTTCTTGATACCCAATCTACAAAAAATAATTCTTAATATTAATGATAATTTCACTTATTTTCAGATTCGGATTTGTTCGTAATATTATATCGTTTTCGTCTGAAAAAGTCCTATTATCCGGTGTTGCATATACCATAATTCTACTATATATTATATGCTTAATTTTGACTTATTTAGTTGGAGAAACTTTGTTAGCACAATCTTATTTGCTATGGGAAGCATTCTTTCTATTTGTTATTTTAGTAATAAATTTTCTTGTTGCATTTAATGAAGAATATGTGTACAGAAATGAAATTTCAATACGGGTAACTAAAGTATTAGGTAAATGTATATTATATTTATATATAATGTAAATTATAATTTTTTATTAAGAAAATACATTAGAGCAAATTAAAATGATACATTTTATGTTATATAGAAACTTTAAATGTTGCAATCAACAAGGCACTGTGGAAAGAAAATCATTATCCTCATTTGTGTGCACCATTTTCACCATGTGTAATATTACAATGGACTTACAGAGATGGTAAGCAATTTTTATGATGTTATCTTAAGACATTAGGTATAAAGGAAAATCTGCTTGAAAGAGATTTGGCCTGGAGATATTTAACCCCCACATAATTGATCTACATTTTTTATTTATTTCACTGGCTAGTGTTTATCTAACATCATACCTTCAGCAATCACCAGCTCAGGCTCACAAACTTATTACTTAATGAAATTATTACTTAAATTTGACATCTTCATGTTATCATTGAGGTGTTTTAAAAAACTAACAGGAAACTTGCATATCTAAGAAAATAAAAATATCATATAAATAAAAATTACTCTCAAATACTATATAAAGACAGGCCTATGTTTTAATGTTAATAGGCTTATAATAAGGCTCCTTTTCTCCCTCCTACTTTGAATGTTACAATAACTTTTTCAATTTATCATGTAATCTAAACTTGCAGCTACAATTGTCAATTTACCATGGGCACTTCTTGTGGAAGGGGATGTAATAGTCTTGAGACCAGGACAAGAAGTTCCAGGTCATTGCAAAGGCCTCCAGCCAGAAGATCCAGAGCTGTTCTTTGGGCAAATTTTTCAGCCAGGTGTCCAGGTAAATAGATGAATTAGGCATGATGCTTGCAAAAAATTATATGTTAATTTTAGCCTCCTAGTTGGGAACAATATTCACTACATTTTTTGGCCATAAAAAAGAATGATTCAAATGAAAATGTGGTTTTTAGTTTATACATAATATATATAAAAATACAATTAACTTTGCCTTCAGTTGAATTAATTAAATATTTAATATAAACTAACTTTCTAATTAATACTTACAGTGGTAACTAGTTTTTATTTTGAATATTTAAGGCACTAACTAAGAAACATATCATAATCATATTTGTTTCATTTAAACGAAAGTTCAGGTTATCCATGTGTTAGTTGAAAATTTTTTTCATGTTGTAAGTTATCTAGCAAGCAGGTGGTTATCCTGATGTTAAGTGAATTCTGCCTCTCATGGGCTTGAGTGTTTGTAGATGTGTTTGTGTGGAAAAAAGTGGGAGCCTGTTACATCACTCACTAACTAAAATGCAAAACTACCTCCACTTCACACTGGTCTACTGGGATATAGTGATACAGTTCCATTCAAGCCTGCTCATTAGTGCAGCACAAGTTGTTGCATGTCCCTACCATAGCACAATAATTATAATATGTATCCAAAAATACCATCTTTTTTTTTTTTTTTCAAAGAAAATTTTTCAAGTGTTAATATAGATATATTTTTGTTTCAGAATAAGGAAAATTTCACCACACCTAGAGTGCGCACACCACACCAAAATAAAGCGTACAAAATGCTTGAAACACCATATTTAAAGAATTTAAAATTAGCTTTGGAACAGGCTACAAATAGACCAGTGACAGTGTTTGAGAAACAAAGATATTTGGTGAGCTTCACATCATTTGCACTTGCATAATAAACAACACACTGATAATCAGATCTTCATAAATAACAGAAAGTTCAAATGTGAGTTTAATAGACAGATTGCCAAAAAAAACTATGGTGCTTTGAGGATCGAACCTACTTCTTCTGGGTAAAGCATCCAGCCATGCTTACCAACTGTGCTAAGAAACCTTACGACCTTAGAATGTCCTTACTTAATCCAACCCGTAATAGCAACACCGCTCCCTTTGTATGATTATACAAATGTTAATATTGAAATCCTATAATTTTAAGGGTTTGTTCCAACACTGTAAAGGAGAAAAAATGTCTATATCTAAATATCCATATGTCATAGGGTTCTAATTTTCTATAATACATGGTCTTGTAGTATTATAAAAAACACAAAATAGTACAAACTAAAATCTGACATTTAAGAATGGTTGTAACACATTTGGAGCAGTAGAAATTTAAAATTTTTGATATGTTATGAAATTTTATAAGATTTGGCTTAACACACTTCTCACAAACATTTGACGCATTAATATGATTCAAACACTTCACTTAAGCATATAATTATTGCCACAAAATATGTAAGAAAAATTGTATTCTTTAAAGTTTCAATTAACTGCATAAATGTTTTTTGTTAACAGTGCACAGTAAAAATAATGGAGGGCATAGTGTTACCACTTGTGATTGCTATTGTGGTGATAGCAAGTTTCTTCCGCCATATGTATCACCTACCTGGCATCACTCATTGGACAGAAATCTACTTTCTGCAAACAATAGCTGCATCTTTACCCCTATTGCAGATAATCTTTCCGATAGCATGGGTGACACTTAACTGTTATGGCTTAGCAAGGTAATATATAAACACATTTTATATAAAAAAAATAAGCAGTAAACTAACAAGTGACTGTCGGAAACAAACAAATTAATACACAGTCATAATTCACATGTTCAGTGTTTTAGCTATGTAATTATTATAATTATATAATAATTCCTTTAATAAAATTTCAATAATGAATGAGTCATCATTTATTATTCAATGCATTGATTATGAATTCTTGATTCATGTGATTTGAAATCAATTTACAATAGCAGCTTAAGACAGAACTATACCCAATTTAAATTTCTCTGCTTCTGAGATTTGCAGTCAATAGAGCCAGGCTTTAACCATTTAATAGATTTGTATGTCATTAAGAAAAAGAGAAATGCATACTTTAAAAATAAGTTTATCCATCCTACTCAATTTATAAAGCTATTTTACGTATGTTATATATAAATGTTATGCTTACCAGTAAATAAAATAGCATTTAGAGAATGAGAATCTGTCTGAATTAAGATAATTATTGAATTAGTAACATGTCAATGTTCTAAAGGAGTTTAGTTGGTAAGCACCATTAAAAAATTTAAATAAATAGACTAATATCTGTTAAAAGGTTTGTCTCCTCTATGTACATAAATTAGCTGCACATGTTATCTTATTACAGATTTAAGTTGCTGTCGGAAACCCGGCAGAAGTATATCCGGCCGAAGTCTTGTTCCATATCAGAGGACGCGAGCGATCCCCTCATACAGGCCCTCAGTGAGTCCAATCTAAAGCCTGACAGCCTCAGATCCTTGGGCCGGACGTTCATCAACATACTCTTGGGCAGGGAGGACATGGTCTCAAGAACTGCAAACATTGTCCATGTATTGGGATCCTTGTCTGTAAGTCTAACTCCTTTTTTTTACACATATTACACAAAAAACTCTTCGTTTGGTTTTGGCACGTAATGGCATAGTATATTAGTAAATGTTTAACATTGTCTACTCTTAAAGGTTCACTATTACCCGTCGCTCGTAAACCTCTACCTCTGTATGATATACAGAACTTTATTTACTTTATCATAGCTTATTTTATCCGAAGAAAATAGCTTATTAATTTAACTAAATGCTGTAACATCATTAAAATTGTTTAGTCCAATTCCAATTTTAGTTTAATGGCTCCATCAGTATACAGGGAGGCTTTTCTAAGTGTATCCATTTTTTTAAATTAAATTCTAGACAAATAATGTTATATAAAAATGATAAATATTTAAAATTACTTGTAATTAATTAATTACATTCATTTTAACTTATCTCAAAAAGTGCGTGATTTATGGGCAACTTACACCTTTAAATGAGCAATTCTTGTATATATATATATATATATCATTGGAATCTCGGAAACGGCTCCAGCGATTTCCATGAAATTTAGTACGTGCGTAGATTCGGGGGCGAAAAATCAATCTGGCTAGGTTTCATTTTTAGAAAATGACATTTTATCTCAGTTTTCAGGGAATGAAAAATATCATTCGAATACGACGGTAAATATCACCGAAAAAAAAAATTGTGTAATAGCTCGGTCCTCCAGGTACTTTATTTTACGTGCGATCATTCATAAGTAACACGCACACAAGTTCGTTTCAAAAATATACAACGCATTTATGAATGACTACCGCATTGTCAACAAATTCTGTTGTTAAGGGAATAGAATAGCAAATTTTTTTTGAAAAAAAGTTTGTTTTCATTTTAATAAACGATTATACTACCGAGTCTGAACCTCCTGTGTGAATTTGGGCACCTTTAGGAAAGCCACCCTGTATAAGTTGAATTTTTTAGTCATAATAATTGATTACAAAGCTATGACTGCATTGCTTTTGCCGCATCCACAACCAAGAAAGTTGTCATTATTGTTGATTTTGTTTTTTATTATTACAAGTGTTAATTTTAACATGGCATAAATAGATAATTATAGATTGCTTGCAGTTGTTTACGATTCTATACAGTATTGCTAATAGTTTTTTATAATGGCCTTATTCTCAGGCGCTGTGCTGCATTGACAAGAAGGGCATCCTCTCGTGGCCCAATCCGACTGCCGAAAAGGTGTTCTTTCTGCGTAACTCCAGCCCGTTGTCGCAGAACTCGAGCAAGACCAGCCTCGTGGGCTCCATGGGCCACCAGAGTCAAGCGACTCTGGACATGGGTGATACTAAGCCCAATCCGGACGCGTCTACGATCGTGGAGGTGAGTCGTTTCGGCCACGATACAAGTGTCGTAATGGTGAAGTAATAGCATATATTTGTCCCACTGCTGGACAAAGTCCTTTACAAAGCGTATTAATACATATGTACGAAAAATATATTCTTTCATTGTTCATATGTCCGTATGAACTGATTTGCTTTCCTAGTGATATTTTTCCTAGTGCAGCTAACTTATTAAGATAGGTGAAACAAACTTATCGTTTGCATTCTCTTTCTATCGCTTAATTGTCTAATTCGTGCTTGTTTTATGTGAGAAAGTGGCAAGATAGCTGGTGGTTTGTTGATATTGAGTGATACCCGCCGCCCATTAACATTCGGGTGCGTTGCCGCACTTCAATAAAAAAAGAGATAGCTTGCGATAAGTTCGCATCACCCATCCCGCCTCGCCGCCCGCCAGGTGCTCGACCTGACGCACGACCAGAACGCGCCGTTCCGCGTCGAGTTCGACGAGCAGCGGTGGCGGACGCACATCGCCCGCCTCAAGCCGCTGGGGCTGGCGGCGCTGCTCAACACGTGCGCGCCCGCGCCGCGGCACACGTACGCGCACTTCTGCGCGCACCTCACCTGCGAGGCGCAGAACAGGTGGCGTCACGGTCTCTAGAGCTACGCCCTTTTTTTTTTGTATAGGGCGAGGGGGGGGGGATCTTCGAAAGATAGCTGCCCATCCGTGTCCCCTTTTAGTCGCGTTTTACGACAGGCAGAGGATACCTTAGCCATATCCTAAGACGGGACTACAGGGCTGACTACACAGCATCGAAGATTCGTGTCCGAGAAGTGGGGTCCGAGCGACCACTGCAACCTGTGGAAGGGGGTCGTGTCGGGCACTACCTAATAGCGAGTCTCAACGACCGCTGCGATCTACAAGATCTATTGTATTCCCTTCGAAAACATCGCTCTTCACTGTAGGATGACATTGTTCCGTGTTGTAAGGAAGTTTTACATTTATGAATTTCACGTGGACGAATACACCGAATATAAACAATTGTCAGTGGGTCACACAAATAGTTGTCTCGAGTGGCAATTGAACCCACGACACCCTTCCCCCCCTTTGGCAACTGCGTTACGGAGTCATGGAATTTTGTGTATACAACTGAAGAAACGCCCTGGTGCGATATGCTCAAATAATTTTCCTCGTATAAGTGATAACCGTTCGACGTGGGGACTCCCAAACCCGTGGGTTCTGGCTTGCCCACCGGTTCTGCGTCAGATGAAGCTTTAATAGTCTCGGGACTGAAAGCAAAAACATCAGTTAATACAAGACGTGGGGACAGAAAACATTTGTAATGGCGATGCCGGAATTTTTAAAAAAGAATATGTAGGGTTAGTTTGGAAGATCTAAAATGCAGCCTATTACACCTGTGGCTTTTCTAAAGGTGCCCAAATTCACACAGGAGGTTCAGACTCGGTAATATAATCGTTTATTGAAATAAAAACAAAATATTTTTCCCAAACAAAAATTGCCCTAAAAAAACAGAACGTGTTGACAATGCGGTAGTCATTCATAAATACCTAAATTTTACTGTGCACGCACACAAACAAAACTAAGCGCTCGCGATAAATCGGACACGACCCGTGCCGACACGGCGTCGTATACTTTTGAAACGAACTTGCGTGCGTGTTATTTACGAATGATCGCGCGTAAAATAAATGAGTTGCCTATAAATCACGCACTTTTTCCATATAACATTATATATGTCTAGAATTTAATAAAAAAATATGTATACCCTTAGAAAAGCCTCCCTGTATAATGCGCGGCAGGAAGCTTCGTGATTGGCAGCCACCAAGATCAGCCAGTCGTTTTTATATTTATCAATACAATTTACCCTCCTACGTGTTACATGGTCCTTGTAAATCTATTTTTACTCTTACATAATCTTTAAGTCACGAAGAAAAACTTCCTGGGCCCCGGATCTCTCACTCACTGGACGAAACGCAGAAGTTTAACACTTCCACTTCACACTTTACGTGGGTTTTCTGTGAAATCGTGGTACCCCCCAGACAGGCCATCCCTTTTCTGCAACATCGAATACTGTTGCGTGGCCCTACCACAGTAAAACATAGAATTTTATCGCATGCTCCCCATCCAGCGAGGACTTGGTCCCGGTGACAAATCGCCGTTGCCTGTGCGAGCTGGCAAAGCAGATTGGCTTCACCGACTCCGTGGCCGAATCTTACACCGTTCAGGATTGTCTCGCTGTCTTCAGACACTTGGTAATTGTAAATCCGGCCCGAAGGACCACATATCTTTTATTAGTTACGTTTATTGTATGTTGATCTAATTTAGTTTAAGAATCTCAATTCAAATAGGGTATGATCGCCTAAATTAATTATGAATCGCAATCAAATCACTTCTCGAAAATAATTCATAAATTACCTAGAGTGATTTTATAATAAGTGTCGTGTATGTTTACCTATATATAGAAGGTCTTTATATAGGTAAAGATATCCCTATATAATTATTAAAACTTTCGTGAGACATTATTAACGAAATAATAATACGGCTGAACTCACGCATGCGAGACGAGGCTCGACCGACAACTTATCCCAATCACTTCCGACGGGTCCGAAACTACTCGGTACATACATCGTTTCATTATTTAGACCTTAGCGCTGTTAATTTAAGGTTCGTATTCGTCCGTCAACAGCAAGCCGACACGATAAGGCGCGAGACTCGCTTCGTGCGCTCTCTGCACCTCAGCACTCGCGTCAAGGTCCCTTTGCCGCACATGTTGGCCGTCGTCGTGAAGGACCAGGCCAACCAGTTGCAGATGCTGACACAGGTTTCACCTCTCTCTCACACACACACGCATACATTGTATTATATTTTTGTATAGAAGGGGTTGGTGGTTGTAGTACCATAGAATATCATCACATTACACAGGGTGATTTTATAGACGACGGACATATTAACAGAGCGTATGCAGAGTTTGATTCCAAATCTGAATCTGGTGCGTACTTGTGACCTTTTTTTTTTTTCAAAGATTATTTTTTCAAACATTATGGACACTACCCTATTAGAAATTCCTGCATTACGATCTCAATACAATAACCTATTCACGAGCACTAAAACTGTTAGCTGAACGCATTATTACTAAACCGCTTGTCAATACCGGTGAGCACTCTTAACGGGATAAACAAACAATGTTTGAATTGATATTTTTCTGGTTATTTCTTGTCAAAATAAAATATTATTACTTTTTTTAATTATGGAATGCTCAATTAACATTATGTCAAAGTACGTCTAAAAATCACCATGTACAAATACATGTAAATGAAGTCAGTTTCGAGTTCCGAGAAGTTTAAAAGTTCGCGAGTGTAATGTCACCTTTAAAAGTCGTATTATCGCTTAGGAACAAGTAAAATGACACTAAGTCATTACCACCCTTCTTGTATATGTTCAACGGACAGGCGTTAACAACCTTTAAAGAAATGAGAGTTTACTCATTTACGATAAACTCCAATGAGAAGTCTGCACATTCGTGCAACTGCAGAAGTATGTTTTTGTTCACTAAGTTACAACAACGTCATACGCAACTAAACACCGAAGTATGGGAGCAAGTTAAAGTTTTTGACAGTTGCATGAACGAAAGAACCATCAACCCAATCTTAAATCCATACATATTATTTAGAATAAAAAAATTGACCCTAATCAAACACGTACACAACATTCACGACACTCATTTTAAAATAATAAAGTAAACAACATGAACATAAAAACCTCCAATACATCATCATCGAGCATGCCAAAAAGGACATAACTCAGCAAAATATTGCAGTGAAACTGTAACGCGGATTTTCAGTGATGACATTTTATATTTATCAAATTCAGGGCACGGCAGACATTATACTGGATTCGTGCGTGGACTATTGGAATGGGAGGGACCTTACTCCTATATCGCCATCGGACCGCAAGAAAATCATCGACTTCTACCAGAGGAACTCGCTCACTGCCTACTGTACGGCCTTCGCTTATAAGTATGTACAATTTTTATTTACTTTATATGTTTTTCAATATGGTGCGACGCTATTGGTCTATATACGATATAATGTTTTCAAACTATATCTGACAACAAAAACCAGACTATGTGTTTATACATTGTTACCAACTAATAGAGAGTTGAAAAGAGATTACTCTAAAGCAATTTAAAAACCCACTAAATTCACTAAAATGTACTTTATTACGCACCTAAAAAGTTATACTTCTTTAGCATAACTAAGAAAAAAAAATTATATCCCGTCTGCCAGTACTCTTTGTTTGTGAAAGAAAGACATTAAATGAAATTGTTAACGGTTCGATTAAATAACTTGCAATCAAATGCAGGTAAATGTCAGGTAAAACCGTGTATCTGTTGTTGCTTTTAGCTGTCGAGAATTGTGAAAAAATCACATCATTTTGCCCAAGCGCGCAAAGAGAAATATTAACTTCGAAAAGTTCATAACCCGTCGGCATTTCCAGGCCGTTGACCCGCGGCATATCTCCGTCCCTTTCGCGCTTGTACCTCGAGCTGCCCGCGGACAGCAGACAGCTGTACGCGCCCCACTCCCAGCTGTGGGCCGACGCGCCCGCCCTGCATTTTCACTCGACCGGTCAGTACGAGTGTACATGATTACGGAATCGAAAATTATTCTGAATGTGGTACTTAGTCCGAGCTTAGAAAACAGCAAATGAAATTAAAAAATTTATGGTGCTAATCTCTGCACTTAAGATGAAACAACAAAAATTTATAGAAAATATAATGTATTATATAAAGTATGTTGAGATTATCGTCGATGTAACAAAATCAGCCTCTGGGCGCGAATCGTGTGGTTTAGTATTGTGTGATGACCACAAGAATAAATAAGTGAAGTACTAATAAAGAGAGTTTGAAATGAAAAAGAATGGCAGAGTTGACAGATGCTATCGAGTATACCAAGGGCATTTATTGAATCTACACTTTTCCCCTTACAACAAAAATGGATTTGTGCCGTTTTGTTCTTTTTTTTTTTAAATAAAAAATGCATTATATTATTATGAAATATTTTTTTAAGAATTTTGTTGTTTTGCCTATGGAGACCTAGGGGGGGGGGGGGTGGGGGGGGGGGGGGGCTGGGGGGGGGGGGGGGGGGGGGGGGGGGGGGGGGGGGGGGGGGGGGGGGGGGGGGGGGGGTGGGGTGGGGGGGGTGGGGGGGGGGGGGGGGGGGGGGGGGGGGGGGGGGGGGGGGGGGGGGGGGGGGGGGGGGGGGGGATTTTTAATATGTCATTGAAAATTTTATTGCTGATGCATAATGCGTTATTTTACGTAACTATATGTTGATCATCCGGTCAGTCTGACGTCAAAAGAAATTTCAATGATTTTAAAATAAATAAAATTTCTTTTTGTTTTCAGATTCGCTGCTGTTCAACGAAATAACTGATGACGACGTCACTGACGCTGACGGATTTTTCGACATACAGTGCAATCAGGTAGTTAATTATGTCCTCAATTACGTACTAATATGTATAATTTTATATTTATAATTTAATTCGGTGTAGTACCTATGTGTTCTAATAGAAGTAAGCATACCGGTTGTTTGAAAGAAAATGTTTCTACTAATTATTACTGTAGTCTTGAATTCAAATTTCTCGGTGACGCCGTGCTGGATTCCACATCGGGGGTCGTGGGTTCGATTCCCACGCGGGACAACTATTTGTGATAATTATAACGGATCTGGGTGTTTGTTTCCCAAGGAAGGTTGACGTCAGCCATTAGGTCGGTCTTAACAAAACATAGCAAATAACATTTATAACATGATTGAAATGATGTGCTTTAATAACACTTCCACTTCATACCGGGTTTCCGGGAGTTTTTTTATCTGTATTTTTTTTGTCTTAATGTCAGAGGCATACGGGCGTTGCGGTTACGCACCGAAACCGAGATTGAAGTAAACCTTCCCCGATGATGAATAGTAGTATGTCTAGATCGAATAAATCCTCAAATTGAAAATTAACTGTTATCAAAGCCCAGTGCATTAAAAGGTGCCAACGCATCTGTTGCAAATGAACAATAATAATACTTTATTTTCCATGAACCAAAAAAATACAGAAAAATACATGGGAAATGTATAAACACAAAAAAAAAGATATTCAATAAAACAATAATCCAGAAATAATTTAAAAACATTTGGGCAAAAAGGTAAGAAACTCGGCGATTCCTGAGAAAAGTTCTCAGTGTTGATTTTCAGCTTCTCTTACTAAAAATACAATAATAAAAATAAATGGGTGCATGTACTTATGTACGCGCGTGAGAAGTTATACTTCTTTGGCATCAGTAAAAAATGGTTTTTATTTGCATGCAAATAATTAATTACAATAAAGTAATAAAAAGACTGGAAAAGTATATAAACAATAAAAATAATGAAAGCGCCATCCACATTCTTTAATGAGAACTGTAACGGGCGAATTTGATTGAGAATATGCTTGAGAATATCTATAAAAAAAATAAGCGGGCAGCGGCAGGTGTGACTTTTGAGTTACAGTGATGCGCGCGCATTCTAAAATTTCACCCACATCATTTTTTCATAACGCACCTAAAGAGGTATAACTTCAATAACTCGTCATGCTCGAATAGAAGAAGAAGAAGAAGAAGAAACGTTTATTCACGGTCTAAAAACAAATGAATACATACAAAACTTAAAAATAATAATGTAACTACACAGAAACTTAAAATAAATGTAAACATAAATATAAGCAAACAAAATAACAACAGTAAGTGACGGTCTGTGCGGCAGCGTAAGACCGTGAAACGGACGGGACTCGGTAAAAGTCGAGATGCAGTAACCGGTTCTGATCCCGACACCGGTTTTCAGTCCGGCCCGCACTTCGAGGCAACTCGGACGGCTGCGACAGTAAACTAATATCCGCAGGTGTTCATCGGCATGGTGACGATGCAGTACCAGGCGCAGAGCGACATGGTCGAGCTGATAGAGCGGCTGGAGCGCGCGTGCATCCGCTTCGTGCACTTCAGCAAGGAGAACGAGCTCAGGTCGAGGGTCTTCAGCGAGAAGATGGGCCTCGAGAGCGGCTGGAACTGCCACATATCGCTCATCAGCGGCGACCCCGACAGGTAGGCCCCGGCCGAATAGCAAGCGGAGTGGAAGTTACGCCTCTGTGTTTCGTCTGTTGAACAGGGGGCAACGGGAGCATTATTAAAATATGGCAACCCTACGGGTGTTTGCAACGGGCGGCGGTTATCACTTAACATCAGGCGAACCTCCGGCTCCTTCTCGCATTAAAAAAATGCTGGTTGCGTAGCCAATGCCGTGCATTGCTCTCTTGGCAGGTCTAAACAGGGCCCGACAACATTTGGGTCATATATGGGCGCTTGTTTATGGAAGTGTTGTTAGTGACACTCCAAGAACACAAGATGACCTAATACGACTCTACTATACTTTACTAAAAGAACAATTATGAAGGTAAATACAAAATAAAAACTCCAGTATCAGAGCTAATTTCAAGAGGTCTACAAAATCTGTTTACATAAATTCTATTTCATAAAGAAAAAATCTTATCTCAACTATAAGATAAGATTCCCCCTGGGTGTAAGATTGAAATTAATATATCTAAAATTAAGAATGACCCAGATGCAGAATAATTATCATTGTGTCATATAGATACTTGTCTCTCGCAAACTGAACCCACTTCCAGCAAGCGTGCGTAGACAATAGTTAGCCGCTGATCCAATGGAGCCATCAAATCCGTATACAAATGAAAATTTATTGGAGGGATATTAAAGTTAATTAATTTAGTAATAAATAGAAATACCTTTCATCTTGTTGGTGTAAAATTATAAATGAAATACGCAAAAGAGGTATACTAGAAGTGTGTAAAGTTGAAATTCTTAAACCCTACCTACTCTTCTGGGTGAGATGTGTTTATGTTTTATGTTTGTACGTAACTATGTATGTTTGTAACAACAATTTTCGACTGTTCGATAAAACCAATTTATATTCAGTCAAAATATTCAACTACAAATTGATATTAACTAGCTACTATTTTAACCAAATTAAAATGTTTGTAAAAAATAACATTACCAATATTAAATTAAACTATATTTACGGATTCCATAGTTAACCTTGGCTACCGTAGCCTAGGTTGACTATGACAGTTGCCTCAGTCTGTCCCGTGAACAAGAACGCATATATTATTGTCGCGTATGTTTTTGAATTTTATATAAATCCATAAATATAGTTAGTTTAATAATGTGTAATCGCGTAAATGCAAGAAATTACCAAATAACATTACCAATTGATATGTGCTTTCGTGTTTTAGATGTTACGAAGCTGTTAAAATATCCGTAAATAATGCATTGGCCTTATTCGATTTCGATTGACGGATATCAAATCTATTCCGCGTAACATGAAATGGAGTATACCAAGCTATTATTTTTTTTTTTTTTTTTTGGTGGAATCATATGAAATAATTATAAATGTGTATTTTACAAAAAAAAATTGGAACATTTCATAAATAGCGCATTTTTTCGTATATCTATTCAACGTAAAATAACGTAATAAAGGCTTCATTGTAGGTACCTACTTCGTGAAATTTTACGCGACTGTGATATCCGTCAGTCAAGTAAGCTTGCTAAGTTTCATCTCATCGGGAAATGATTTAACAATTTCATCGAACAGATTTAAATAAAAAAAGAATCCACACACAGTTAAAAACATACTTAGCACACGTGACATTTTCGAACTATATTTCCAAACCGTTATGTATATCGTTTGATTAGTGTTGCCCTATTCTAGTGTGCCTTGTACCAATTATTAGCGTTTTATCGATGTTGCGAATGATGCCTTAATTTCTTTCTTCTCACACCTCTCACCGTATTCCTATTGCAAATTATTAAAAATAGATAGACAGATTTTTGGTTTTTTATGTTATAAGGTGTAAAACGAGTAGGCCATTTTCCCGTCATCTGTGGGACAATATATCCCCGGTGGGATTGCATATGTCCATCGGTGGCGTTGATACGCAAACTATAATACTTCCAATGCACACCTATGTTCTGTGAGGTCACGGAACTTCCCTGGACGAGCCGGCCCATTCATTCAATAGCAAAAGTTGCTGCGTGGCCCTACCAAATCAAAATTAAATAGAATAAATAATTAAATTGCAATGGCGATCATATATCAGCGTAACTTAAGCGCAGATTTTAACAAAGCTGTTACCTATTGATAGAGCAAATAGCGTGAATGTAGTATCCCTTCAATTATAATACATTTATAAAAATCAGAACAACATAAGTACTGTGACTTTATACATCAAACGTGTTTCACCCCATCGCTTTTTCAAACATCTATTTTATCTGTGGACACGTTGTGATGGTCCTATAATCTGTGAGGTGTATGTTTTACGGGTTCCATTTAATCTGTTGTCTGACCGCGTCGTCTTATATTCTGCGAAATTGTGCCGTTGAAACGTTCCATTTCACACGGGTTCGGGTGGGCTGGGGTGGCGGAGTGGGCAGGCGCCAGGGTTGGCACGCGCCCACGGGCACTCACGGAACGTTGTTAACAGCAAGGGGGTGTCGCCGCTGTCGTCGCAAACCCTTGCGGCGGGCAGGTCTGCCCCCGAGGGCGGCACGCAACTCACTAGGGCTGCCGGCACCCGCGAAGCATCGCTCGGCTTCTATAGGTTTGTCCGTTTGACGCTCTGCCTGCATTGGGCTCCGACGTCACACCTTAGGCTGTGTACACACTATAGGACATTTTAGAACTATTTTTTTCTTAACATTAGCGTATGATCCTTTGGATTAATGATCTGAAACACGTATGTATAAAAAAATAATTTTTATTGTTAGTCTCTACACTTAAGATGAAACTTAACATTGTGTTGATAAAACTATTGTAAAGTTTAACCGGCACTGCACATTAGGTAACGCTTAGCGTTGTTAAAAATACAATAAAATCGGAGTATAGAGAACGTCGAGATTTTTGCTTTTTTTTAAGTATGTCGACCGCTTTTCTCAGTGGCTGGAGTGTCAGTTTGTGGCGCATCACAATGAGTTTGAATGAGGACACGTAATCCGGAGGGCTCAGATCAACTCCAGGCAGCTGTTAAATAGCATTTTGAAACATCGCCCGTGGAATTTGCTTTTGCGTTGCGAAACTATACGATTGTAGATACCAGTTACTACACTAACAAAGTCCTACGCATAACTCCTACGTCGATCGTGTGTTAGGCCGCAGTACTTCCTCGGACGATCCGTGTCATTTAACAGCTGTTGTTTGCACCTAGTACAGTTTAATAATGTAACTTTCTAACATAAGCTTTACCTCGTTGTTTGAGTAAAGTTTCATGAAGTTAGACCGTGGCGCAAAATAGTCAATTTCCTAAATGCCTTCTAGAAAACTAAAGTGCTTTAACGGAGTTTATTAATGAACACTATCATCACATTAAAATACTAAGGTATTTTAATGTGATGATAGTGTTCTAGTGGTAAATAAATATTTAAAGCGTACTGATTCTTAATTCAATACCCTTTAAATAATTATTTACTACCTAAATTTCCATTCATTCTTACTTCTCCTAATGAATAAGCAATAACATAAGAACATTTATTAATTTGTTCATAACATACAAATATCGTTTTAGTACGAGACTAAGGTGTGTCGTAGGATTTATTATTAAATTGATTTACTTCGGTTGTTATGATTAAATATGCAAAATGTGAAGATACTGAAATGTTGATATCTGTAGATAAATTATTATTTAAAAATATGATATGGTCTTGAAGTAATTAGTTTCTGCTTTTCAGCCACCTTTCTTTTTTTTAGCTGGCACCTGTTTACCCCTATTTGTTTTTCTTATTACTGCATTACACTACACACAATACATACACATTTTAATGTACTACATAATTAACTTCGTCAATTCAAATCGCATCACAATGAGTTTGCATGAATTCTTGTCACACTTGGAAACTAAAGCATGCATTACCTAATCCAAATGTAAGTTTGACGAGTTGCGATCGATCAACGCTTTACAATAAAATAATTAAACATTAAATTAAATGTGTGAAACGTTGTGTTGCTTCACCGTGATTAATTTTCCGATCGGATAGAAATTAAAACAATTATTTGTACTTAACGCGGCTTCAACTAACACCCCTATCACCATTGTAGTACGGGCTATATTCGCCTGTAGTGTCGCGTTATGGGTAGGTAGTCGCAATGACATTGGAGTATTCCCCACACCGCAGCAACAACATGACATCGTCTAAGACGCTCTCGATGTCGGCGCCCGGGGCGATTAATTTGGAGCACAGCACCGTAAAGTTCGACAACGAGATAAAGAAAGCTCGGCATTCGATCACAACGCACAGCGGCGGTTTAAAGGTGAGTCAAACAAACTTACGGTCGTTGGACTTTTCAAACTGATAATATATACACATAACTCCACAGCCAAAATAAATAAAAAAAACAAGAACAGCGACAAAAGATATTTCAAACTGAAGCACGCGTTATATAAAAATATTTATTCCAGGAATCTGCATGAAAGAAATAAATATACACACTGGTAGAATTAATTTAATCTACATCTATAAATCGTTATATTATAAAATGTATACGTTTGTAAATTAAAAATATAAGTACATACTTAAATTATACATATATGTTAATCCCATGTCCAAATAAGGCGAATCCAATCACATAAACATTTTAAAATCCACGGTGCCATTAAGACTGTGTGCAATGCTTTGTGCCAAAGAAATATTCATATCTCCGAAAAATATTATGTTCCATCTAGAACAGTTGGGCAAACAGTAAGAAATAAAACTACGTAAAGTAATGTGTATTTTCTTTACAAATTGTAGACTTATCACCTAGGGATTCTGCGAGGGATCATCTCTTCATCTGGATTCTAGCGACTGATCAGATTATATTGACGTGTGCGAGCAGCGCGGCAGTATAGCGGCGTCTCAGCAGTCGACCGACTCGCTTCTCGGCGAGTGCGAGGGGGCAGAGTCGCCGGCAGATGCGTGCCGCTCGCTCTCCTGTCTCACCGACTCCACCGACCACTCCGCGCCCGTCAACTTCGACATGAGCAACCGCGTGAGTGATTGCCAATGCCGTTTCTCGACTTCGGCCGTAGTAAAAATAACCGTTTCCTCGATTTCAGCCGTAGTACAAAGGACAAATCTATATATATAAATATATATATCTCTTATATATATATATATATATATATATATATATATATATATATATATATATATATATATATATATATAAGAGATTTCCACCGATAATTGACTTATCACGATATCTCTGGAAACATAAGGCGTAGAGACTTGAAATTTGGTGGGAATATTCCTTTCGCCGAGAATAATTCAGAATAGCATTCAGCTAAGAATCGGATTTTACGAAATTCCACAAAAGAACGTTTGCCGGATTCAGCTAGTATATTATATTTTAGAGGAATTCCTTTAGATGAGTGAATAGAAAAGTGTTCTTTGACATGGGTCAGCATTCTTTGGCAAAATTAACTTCTGGAGCGAGCAAAATATGAGAATGAATAATAATGAGATGTCAATAGTATTCATTCTCAATTATTGATGTTATTATCATCATTGACAATTTGTTTAAATGAAAGATAGCGAACGTATCGCGAAGACTCGTATTCTTTAAAATAAGACGCACATTATTATATTATCATACTGGGTGCGGATCACACGTCATTGCGCGTTTTGTAATTTTTAACTTTTGGGTACATAGTAATTTATTTAATTTGACGCTTCCGTAGGCAAAACTGCCGCGCGGCATCGAGAACATTCGTCCGCACATAGAGCAGGTGGACAACGTGCCGCTACTCGTGTCACTTTTCACGGACTGCACTCCCAGCTCCGTTCGCCAGATGATACAGATCATGCAGGTGGGTTTGTGCCGACAAGTCATTATATCTACATATCGTTGATATACGCCAATACGTTATAGATAGTTACTTAATATCTTTCACATTTTAAAAAATATGATTTTTTTAAAGGCGCCAAGTTCTTTCTAGAGATATTCCACATAATAGTTTTGCTCACCTTATGAAAAAACACGTAAGCATGTCATGGTATTAAGGATACGATCTTTTTTGTAGAAATACATAAAAAATCTAAAGAAAAACTATAACGTCTCTTACCTTAAAACGTGATGAAATCCGTTACCTAATTTCATTTAATAAGTATTTTAGTGTTGCATACTTTCGTGCAACACTAAACTAAAACGAAAAATGTTCATGTTTTAAATAATATAGTAAGTACATCGAGAGTTTTCAAGACATGGAGAATTTTTAAAATTTTATTTAATAATAAATAAATCAATTTGTAGCGTGAACATTTTATAATATAGTTTTTTTTTTTTTCAGGATTACGGTGAAATTGTATGTGTTATGGGCTCTGCGGCTAACTGCCTCAACATGGAGATATTTATGCAAGCCGATGCAAGGTTTGTACCAAAGGAATATTTACACCTTAATTTCCACAGCTATGGCTTGATTTTGTAAGAGACTAATGTTGACAATGACCGTTGCAAATCATGATCCAAGTGAATCTTATTGTAACCTTCAGAGGGCTTTCATAAATTTCTACCGTCTATGACAAACATAAAATATTAAGCATAGATTACCACAAGGCACGAGACTGGGGCCCGATATTTTTCTTATGTTTTTCCCAGCATTGCAGTGGAGCCCCTATATCCAGTGCTTTGCCAAAAGATGCCGCCTTACCAGATGCCACAGAATTGCATCGGTCCTATACAGCTGGCTAGGGCACTCAACTCTGTACCTTGCTCCCTGTCGGTGAGAATTTTTTATTTTGTATGTTAGTAATGCAACAATTATATATATATATATAACAGCAAGATTGTCTATCTCATTTGCAACTTATTATACCTTAGGCAGCATGGCACCATACATTTAAATGTCATAATCTCAATATTTAATGCCATAACGATTATATTGCTTGCTTACCTATTTATTACGAAACATTAAAGACTGGATTTTGGATAAGCATTCTCTAACTATTAAGATCGTTGTCCTTTATTACTTTATCGATTTATAAGATAATTCATAAAGAAAATTGAATTGTTCTTGAAAAAAATACCTTTTATTAACAATAAATACTTTTGCAATTTGCCTATCGTAGACTTATCACATGCTCTATAATTAAAAACAGTATTGAAGGCTTTTGACTTTATAATTATTAAAAAAAAACTATCCTTCACATAAACCAGAAGAAAGGTCTTTGTTAACATATTTCGCCTTAGATATTTGCGTAGCGCAGTGTTTAAATATACAAAACGTATGGGAAATAAAGGTTTAACAAATCGCTCAGAAATGCTAAAGCAATAGTTATACGTATGCTTGAAATGTTTCACGCTGCTTTCGTGCGAAGCTGTTGAACAAGTGGCAAAACAAGCCGCTGACAAATTACTACAGTAGTAAGGTAAGAACCATGTTATGCAGGCACTGATGCTAAAGTTGGAGATAATGTCTGCGCCGTGATTTGAAGTTTTGTAAAGTCTGCTAATTTGGTGGACTACGCCCTAACATCTTCTGTACTGAGGAGGCCTTTGCCCACGAGTGGGACATAAACGGGCTGTTATTTGCTTTTGAGCGGAAGGAAATTGCCAAAATTGTTATAATATTGTACATTATAATTTTAGAGATATCCTTATAGTTGTTTATTATTTTCATATGATTTTTTACTTTGTAACCCTAAAAATAGCAAAAACTGGCCGAAAAAATGTATTCCGCGTCAAATTATATAACTTGGGATTTGATTTTTAACTAAGAAAACCATTAAAGAACTTCTTTATTACGGTCGAACGTCAATTCAGATGATTTTTTTTAATGATATAAAACTTAACAAACTTCATATTCAATTAATGTATCTTTACTTGTAGTTGTTGAAGCTTTGGCGCATCCTGTATATTTAGTTATTAGAACCATATTATGCTACTATTTTATAATTTTAAAGTTGAACATTAAAACATGTAGAAAAAGTACGAAAAGATTGTCGCCGCTGTGGGAATCGAACCCATGTCTTCGGCATTCGCGGCCTGACGCTCTAGCCACTGAGCGAAACGGCTGATAGCCACATCGCCGAAAATTTTAACGCTTTTTTTCTACATTGTTATTTAGCATTTGAAGCAATGCTTGGCGTATCTATTGTTATATCCTTTCCAGCATACAAACAATTTCCAATATCGTTTTACAACGATAATTCGAACGAGAGCTGTCGCCATTGCTTTATAGAATTTTTTTAAATTTTTTTTTGTGCTAATCTCTGCACTTAAGAATAAACATTAAAATTTGTAGAAAAAGTACGAAAAGTTTGTCGCCGCTGTTGGAATCGAACCCACGTCTTCGGCATTCGCAGCCTGACGCTTTAGCCACTAACCTAAACTGCTGCTAAGAAGTCGTTTTCAAAAGAAATAAAATTACAATTTTGAAATAATGTCTGTGCAATGGTGACAAGCGATTTAAAGACATCATAGATGAATATCCCCCGCCGGATAACACTACACCCACAGCTATTGTAACAACAAACACCATAGTTGGCCCTTAGATGACATGCCGTATTTAAACGCACGCATGAGCACATGCGCGGCCCTACCCACAGCGGAGTGCCCAAACCCGTGGGTTCTGGCTAGCCCACCGGTTCTGCGTAAGATGAAGCTTTAATAGTCTCGGGACTGAAAGCACAAACATCAGTCAATACAACTGCGCTGATCTTTTAAACTGTACCATCCGATTTAAATTGTCGTAATCGTGATTTGGGTAAAAGTTCTGTTTTATTTTCTGTCGATCCTATCTCTCGAGCAGATGACCCGGGACGCCGACGTGTCCCTCTTCGCGCTTATCACGATGTCCCGCCACTTCATGATGTGCCTGTGGAACAGCACCCAGTTCTGGATGTGCAGCGCCTGCTTCATATCGCTGCTGCAGGTAACCTCGCGGCCCGGGTTCATAGAATAAGGGCTACGGTATCCCCTGCCTGTCGTAGAAATCGACGAGAAGGGAACACTGAACGGTTGGGAAGGGGTACAGTAGCACAAATTCGTTTCGTGTTACCTTTAGGAGGAGTGGTAATTGGAGATTTGTCATTCTCTCTGAGGTGTCCTCATACGAAGGAGGGGCGCTGATGCGTTCAGTAGAAAAGGCCGGAGCCTCTACCAACGTTATGTCCTAAACATGCAGATGACGTAACCAGAGTGGTATCCCCTTTTTGAAGGGAAGGTATTTTGCTCTTTAGGAATGGCAAAAAATTTTTACTGAATTATACTACCACTACCTCCACACATGCAAAATTACATATTCGAACGTCATCATTATTTCAGCCTTCTCGAGTCCACTACTGAACATAGGCCTCCCACACAGACCGCCACGGAGCACGATCCTCACAGTGGCTCACCACCTGCGTCAATCGCCCTCCCGCGCACGTGCACAGGTCGTCTACGAGGATGCCACAACCATAAACAGTCGCGATTACTTTAGTACAGTTACAAAGAGCGTGGACACCCTGTGACCGTGTAGCGTTTAACAAGAGAGGCGATGAGCCAACGCCAGTTTCCCGCCACTGGCCACGTTCCAGGTGGGCTCCCTCTGCTGCCTGCTGCCGCTGGCGCTGAGCGCGGGCGGCGCCGCGTGGGGCTCCTTCGCCGTGGCCGCCCTCTCGGCCGCGCTCGCCTTCGCCCCCGTGCGCGCCTCCGTCATGCAGCGCGCCGCCACGCGCCCCCACACCGAGCTGCACCGCAGGGTGAGGCGCGGCGCACGCCGGTTTCGACAACAGCTCCGTCGACATCTAATAGGGTGCATGTGCACATGCGCATGCATATACATGTTCCGGCAACAGTTCCGACGCATGATAGTTTCGAGGATAGCTCCGTCTGCATCTAAGAGGGAGCATGTAGACATGCTCATGTATATGCAGGTCCCGGCAACAGTTCCGACGCACGCTAGTTTCGAGCTTCGTCTACATCTAAGAAGGAGCATGTGCACATGCGCATGTATCTACATGTTCTAGTCTCGGTTCTACGCACGCTAGCACTGAAACGTGATACGCATGCAACATGCGGGCGTGTCCGTGTGTACCTGCATAGCTCCCACGCACGCCTACACGGACCTGAAAACATGAAGAAAAACGTGCTGACATGCGCGCGTGATCACAAGTCCCGGTAGCTATTCTGATGCAAGACAGAACTGAAATATGAGCCGCACGAGACTTGCCCGTGTTAAAACCGATACGCACGTAGTTAGGTCTGTTGACATACGTGTGTTTCATGTAACCGCGCTCCACGAATTATTAATCCGCACTATACACCGAGACATGTAGATACTCCTGAGTAAAGCGCCGGATTACGTAACATTTTGTAATAGTTATCTTTGTACGCACACAGATGGCGATGTTCGTGTTTTGGTGCTACGCTTGCAAGTTCCTGCCGGCGGTGATTTTCATACTGGCCCTCTACGGTCTCACCCTGCGCAGTTTCTGCGAGCAAATCGCCGAGGTTTGTACCAAGCGACGAGTACCCGACAATGTAGATTGCTGGCAATAACAGGGAAATGTTAATGACTCGATACCGCGTCGTAGGTTCGATTCAAACCCGAGACAACTGTTTGTGTGACCCACAGAGTCTTTGTAGATTCTTGAGTAATTTTTACTAAGACATAAGCTGAAAATGCAGCACAGAACTTTTCTCAGTATTTTTTTTATAAATTTTCGTGTATCGTAGTTTTATTGCATATACAGCGTGTCGTTACCATCGCGACATTAAATCAACACACGTCTAACGCTACTTTCCAATAATCATAAAAACATATTAACGTTAAACAAAATCCATAATTAAAAAAAATATTTTTCAAACAAACTAATTAAGTAAAAAAGAAACAAAATTTGTAACATCCTATACAAATCGCGCCACAGCGTCGCATTACAAGCCTCTCCTTCTAACAGTATCTTTTGTCTCTTTTAAATTCATTCAACCCATTCATATGCTTTGTGATCTTTACAAATGAACTTTACGTTACAGTTTTATACGTAAGGGTGTTCTAAAATTTTTTGTTTTGGAAAATTTTATAACTCTGTAAATATTGATGTTTAAAAAATGTAAATGTTTAATACAATTTTAAAAAGTTATCCACTATCATGTGTGTTTATTTATATTCGCGATTGTAAAGACACGCTGTATATATTAGTTTTATTGTATACGTATATTTTTTTGTTTATGGCAAATAAAGCACTATTGTTATCGTTACTCAAAAACAGGCGACCGGAGCGACCTCGTGCTGGCTCGTGTACCCCGTGAACGTGGGCAACTCGAGCGCCGACCTGGACCTGACCGTGCGCAGCTGGCACGGCTGGGGCGACGACTTCTACGACGGGTTCTACCTCGCGCAGCACCTCACGCTGGCGCTGCTCACGCTGCACCTCGGTGAGCGATTAGCCCCCCTAATGGGCGATTAGCCCCCCTAAATTGGGGAGGGGGGTTGACTAATACTGAGCACTCCAATGCTCGAGCTGACAGAAGCAGGATCGGGTTCGGATTCCCGCCTTTTCGTGTCGAAGGTGCTTAATACGGCGAAGCCAAAAGTAACTCACGCTGGGCCCACGGACAGGTTGAGGGCAGTAGAGGTGTAGTCACTCTTCATGTCCTCTGCGACCCTGGTAGAGTTGCATCGCAAGAGAGTATTGCGTTTGTTCGCTCTCCCTATCCTCCGCGACTCGGCGGGGCTGCACCGCTGATGCAGTGGTGGTGGGGCCGTAGGGGGGAGAGGAAATTCGGTATTGCGGTACGCCGTTTTCCCTACCCTCTGCGACCGAAACGGCTAATTAACACTGGCTCTCCTGGCTCCCATGGCCACTGCCCTTCGACCTCGGCGAAATTTGTTGGCCATGAAAAAGGGGTCGAGTATGAAGGCGCGCAGAATGTTCCAGCGTGCCCTACATAAAGCGCTACCGTAACGATATGCACCTGTAATATCGCGAGGTTTTTAGTTGGTACGAGTCCGACATAACTCGTCCTTGCCTTCGCGAGAGTGGAGCATCTCCCCCGCGTTAACAAAAAAGAAAAGGCAAGTCTGGTTTTTTTTATAAACGGGGCCCACTTGTTTAATCGTTGGCAACGCACCTGCAAACCTTCACTCGTAGATGTTCATGGGCGGCGGTAATCACTCAACATCAGGTGCACCCTCCTCGCTTACAACTTTTTACATAAAGGCGCTAATAAAATAGAAAACATAACAACTGCACAGGAGAATAGGAGGACATTAAATAACTAGATTATATAAAATATTAATTACCATCTGGGCCTTGAAACGCTCTTGGGCGTTAAGTTCCTAATTCTACCATGGAGTATCTTCTTATACTACTTTTATAAAACTAAGAAGAACCTTGTTGTAAAAAATAATTGTCGACCATTGCAGTGGTGATATCGCTTTCGTTCGTGCAACGGCAATGCTCTATCTGGCAAGGCAGCTTCTGGACCAACAAGGTGTGGCTGGCCACGGTCGTCATATTGTAAGTATTGGGGGCTAAATACATTATTTGAATGATAGTTCAGTATTCGGGTGCTCGCTTTCATTCAACACTCAAGCAACCGGCTGTCCGGCAACGTTCAAATTGTTAATTGCAATTTTCGGCAGAGAAATATTGACTGCTCCGTGGTGCAGTTGCCAAGGTATTGACTTCGGCGTCAGGGGTCATGGGTTCGATTCCCAAGGAGGGTTTCCGTCGGGCAGGCGAAAGACCATAAGACCACATGATTCATGTGTTGTCCGAAAAGCTAGCCGGTATAAGAGGAAGGACCCCCCCCCTACCCACCCTCACGAGCCCCGGTTTCCTCCTAATAGTAGTGATTCCGGGCCAGGTTGGCGCTGCAGGGCAGCTTCAGTGCGGCGCTGCTTAGCGGCGTTTACGGCACGTGCTCCCGCTGGGGCGTGTGCTCGCTCCGCTACGAGGTGCGGTGGCCGCTCGCCCTCGGCTACGCCCTCTCGCTCCTCGCCGTGTTCGCAATCAACGAGCTCATCAAGTGGCAGGAGATCAAGTAACGACAACTCTCCCGCACTTACGCCAACCAATAAGTCTCCCGCTCTAACATCCATCAGCAACTCTCTCGCTCTAACGCCCACCAATAACTCTCTCACTATAACGCCCACCAATAACCCTCTCGCTCTAACGCCTATCAATAACTCTCGTCCTAACGCCCATCAATAACTCTCTTGCTCTAACACCCGTCAAAAAATCTCACGCCCTAACGCCCACCATTAACTCTCTCGCTGTAACGCCCACCAATATCTCTCTCGCTCTAACGCCCACAAATATCTCTCACTTAATACTGTTTAAACTGTCAACTTTTCACAACAATAAAATTTTTCGATAATTTATCTATTAAATTTTAAGCCGGGTTTTATTTGCAATCAGAGACGTAATAACCATCTGATCAAATTGGAGCAATATTAACATAATGAATTCTAAATGTTGCACACTTTTCCTACCTGTAAACTTTCAATATAACATACACAGCAAGCACCAGCGACACACAGGAGAGGCGTGCGGAAAGGCTCATCGGTGACCATAACTTGGTTAAAACCAATCTCACTAGCCTTGAACACAGGCGCAGAGTAGCCAGCCTCTCGGTTTTCTACAGGATACATTTTCGAGTGCTTTCCAACATCGGATAACCAGGCGTTCGGTGGGGCTCCACCCTTATGCTATCGACGTTCCACGTACAAGAATAAAGCGATTCGCTACTTCATTTATCATCCGTACAGCTAAGGAATGGAGTAACCTGCCGGCATCCGATTACAACGCAGGCGTCTTCAAGGCGTGTGTGAATAAGTTTCTACTGAGCTAGCGTGCTTACCATCAACGGCTGCATCGCCACTTACCATCGGGTAGGATGGCAGTCAAGTGCTGGCCAGTTATGAATTAAAAAAAAAAACGAATCATTCAGTGTATAATTTACGACGAGAATCTGGAAAACAATTTAATCCTTAGATTAAGACAAATTGACTACAGTGTCACAATACCTAAATCTATCTTTTCTTCTTACAGGGCTGACGTACGCAACCAAAGACGAGCGAGACTGGACTTCGGCACAAAGCTAGGAATGAACTCACCTTTTTAAGGGACGACAACGTCTAGTCTATTAAACTAGTATATTTGACAAGTTTTGACACGGTATTGACGAGGTCTACGTAATTGAGTGATATAATAATAATTTTAAGCATAAATGGAACATTGTACTTGATACGTACTTACAGATATTTTGTACTTAATTTATTTTGTGCCGTGATTTTGATAATATCGACATTTACAATAAACGCCAATGAGATGGAAAAAATTATTTCACTTGTGTTTCAAAGGTGCTTATAGTGTGTCCTTTATTAAAGCCAAGTCCTTTTGCTAGTTAATTGGAAAAGTTAATTTGTATCATCACTAACAACTTATAAAGTTAAATTAGGCTAAATGAAAAAAGAAGTTAAAATTCCTTCATATTTCCAGCAAACATCACTACAGGGGATGTGTAAGATATTAAAATAACGATGTTTAAACAAATAGTTTATTGCAACTAATTAACTTGTGATGTATACTAATATAACATATTTCCATATTGGAGACATAGCTCTCGCCGCTTACAGTTTCACACTACTTACAGTAGTTTAAGGTTTTGCTTTTTTGTTGAACACGAAAATTGACATAATATAATAATTGACAATCTTGTGTAGAATTGCAAATGGGAACACAGCAGGGACTAAAATTTTGGACGAAATGCGGTATTCTTTTAATCCAATAAGCTCAGAACTGTACTCCTCAGTGGGAAGGTTAAAGACATTTATTTGGATAAAAGAATATTAGCGTTAATTAACTATCTATGGGTCCAATTAACAAAACAAACTATCAGTTTAAGGAAAATAGTACAAGTAACACTGGGATTATATTAAAATGTTATTAAGTAAAAAAAATAGATGAAAATAATGCATGGTTACCAAAATTTAGCTCTTATTCATTAACTCTAGTGGCTTATTATGATTTTTATAAATCTAATTATTGTCCAGTAGAAAATATATGTTGCATATATATTACTCTCATAGACCTTATATTTTCTGCTTAAATTTTATCTTTTGAAGGTACTGTATTAGTCATACAAAATATTGTGGTCATTTAACATCTCAATATTCTTTGTTTTTAATTCTAATCCAGTGCTGGTGTTTATAGCTTAGATGATACATAAAACTTTAGGCAATTTCTACACATTGAACTTATTGCAAATTCTTGCCTTCATTAACCATAACTTATTAAACTTATTTAATTACTTTATTTGCATTAATTTGCACAATCTAATATTATTATGTAAGAATCAAATGAACGTATTGCTCTTTGAACAAAATATTTTCTGATTGGATACACCACTACTAACTCTTCGTAGTAAGTTCATAAATTAATGTGTTAATAAGTTCAATTACATACTCGCAATTAATAGTCTACATTATTGTTAGTTACTAAACACTTGTACTTATAGGTAAATTAAAAGGTAATGGCTAACACTCATCACCAGGGCTTGGTAGGTCGAGGATTTCTTGAACAAAAGATGCCACATCAGTTTCTTTTTTACTATGCTCTAGGCAAAATGGATGCGATAACAGGGCATCGTAATTAGGTCTTTGTTTGTAGTCTTTCTTCAGACATTTTGTCACCATATCCTCAAATTCTGGTGAAAAAGCGCCATTAGGAAGTTTCGGAGGGTCATCTTTAACAACTTGTTTTAGCTGTTCGAAAGGCGTGCACCAGGTGTTATAAGGGAATTTGCCTGTCGCTAACTCAATCATAGAAATCCCTAGTGACCACACGTCACTTCGAATGTCATACTGTCCGGGGTTGCCACTAGGGTCAATTCTTTCAGGTGCCATGTAAGGCTTACAGCCAGCGTCTATTGTTTTTGCAACAGAGTCAACAAGATAACCAGAAATTCCAAAGTCGCACATCTTCACTTCTCCTTTTCGATTAATTAATATGTTTGAAGGTTTAACATCTCTGTGTATAACTCTAAGCTCTAGATAAAGATAATGTAAAGCACTCACTACAGAGAATGCAATTTTCCCGAGAATATTCTCTGGGATAGTTCTTTTATTAGTATAGGCTTTTGCATAGAACTTGTCGAGGCTCATATCCATCACCTCCATGCAGATCCAAACATCTCCCTCTCTGAACATGGCACCATAAAAATGAACTGTATAGGGACAGGCACTGGCTCTCATGGATACATCAAGATCCATTAATAGACGTTTTAGCTCAGGAGACTGTGTATTAAAAGTTGCTGTTATTCTCTGTAATTCAAGAAAAACATAAATAGCTTCATAATAACATACCATGGTTTATTTTCAAAGTACAGATTTTTGTCTAAATAGTAAATCAAAAGTAAAAAAATTTTGACAAAAGCAATTAAATGGTCAAAAACTAGAAACAAACCTTTACTGCCATTATAGTATTACTGGGTTTATGGTGCATCTTCTCCACAATGCCATAGGCTCCACGCCCAAGATCGCATATCTTTACTAAATCATCTGCATATACAGTGAATGTCTTGTCATCCACAGTAATTGTGGTTTGTTTATCAAGATTCCTCGGAGGAGTTCTGAAAATAACATGTAAGTCAATAAATTACAACAATTGCTCCTAGAACTTGGAACTGTCAGTTTTATTTACCAATCTTCATAGGCTTCTAATATCTCTGGTTATATCTATTATAATGCATTGTAATCATTGCAGCCCATGAAGATTTACAATGGGGGTTGCAAATTAACAGTTGTAGTACAGCAGTGAACAGTTGTGTGTGGGCATACAACAGTTCGCTGTTGCACGTATGCACTGTCTACTGCCCATGTCTACAGCGTGTCAATACCATCGCGACAATAAATGAACACACGTCTAACGCTACTTGCCAATAATCATAAAAAAATCCATAATTAAAAAAAAATATTTTTCAAACAAAATAATTAGGTAAAAAAGAAACAAAATTTGTAACATCCTATACAACTAAAACTGACTGATTCATAAATTCAGAGACTTTTTCATTCGTTGCCACGGCGTCGCATTACAAGCCTCTCCTTCTAATAGTATGTTTTGTCTCTTTTTAATTCATTCAACCCATTCATATACTTTGTGACCTTTACAAATGAACTTTACGTTACAGTTTTATACGTAAGGATGTTCTAAAATTCTTTGTTTTGTAAAATTTAATAACTGTAAATATTGATGTTTAAAGAATGTAAATTTTTGATCCAATTTTAAAAAGTTATCCTCTATATGTGTGTTCATTTATTGTCGCGTTGGTAACGACACGCTGTATATGGGTAGGCTGGCACAAGTAACCTCACTCATTAGATGAATAGCAAAAGAATATATACTACGACTTTATGCCAGTTTTCTTTGGCCACATGGTGATCCCCTATGGAAAATGCAGGAAAATAATTATACAGTAAAAATTTATATAATACAAACAATTTTGTTATAGTAATACCTTAAAATTTACTACATTCCCTGAACTGGCAATTCCACCTAATAGAAAACAGTGATGTTAATAAGCTTTTCATAATAATAAAGTGGGTGGTATCAGGAAAGGGATAACAGATTGTTTCTGACCAGCAATTCATCATAGATAAAATTTTTACAACGAAAATTATATGAAGTTAATCGATGCTGTAACCGGAGTTGTAATTTGCAGTTTTACTAGATACTTACTAATATTATAATGGCGAAAGTTTGTATGTATGGATGAATGTTTGCTACTCTTTCACACAAATACTACTGAATGGATTTTAATGGAACTTTACAATAATATAGCTTATACATCAGAATAAGACATAGGCTAAAATTTATACGCATATTTTATGTGTATCTGTCCTTCTGTCTGAATGTTACCTTCAGCCTATTCTACGTAGACACAGTCACAGGTAGCCGCTAGTAAATTATATAATGAATAAACTCATTATCATATTATGCTAAGATTCAGTACTTTTAGTATATTCAGTTTGGTAAAATTTGATTATGCATTATCATATTTTTTATTTTGCTCAATTTTAAAATTTTTTAGCACAAATGAAGTGTTAATTTATGTAATAACTTTATAAAAACAAAATCTTAGAAATATATTTATATTAATTCCTTATAATATCAAATACCAAGTATGACATAATTAAAAATAACAAACAGCACCATAATATACTAGTTTTCTAATAGACAACTTGCTATTATGTGGGCAATTTTTGACATATAATTTTCCCACAAAACCATAGAAATACCTTTATTAAACATGTTTACACATAAATAAACAAAAAGTGTGAAAGCGCACATAAGATTATACAGACTCACTAGTTAAAACAACACAGAAACATAACTGATAAATTTGATTTGATCCAATTAAAAAGCTATAGATACTTAGCACAAATTCTAAATACATACACATCTACTTGTTCCTCGGGTGGTTTAAAACTAAAGCCCGGTGGCGGCAACTTTCTTCTACCGGACATCTTCAATTTAGTTTATTTTAAAATAAAAGAATTGACAATAATACAAGTGGAGGAAAATTTTTAATAAGCTTGAAAGACCAAGCGTTATTCGAACTAACGACCGTTGTACAGATGAATTAAGTTATAACCACCATATCGGTATAAAATACGTTTTTTATTTCAAATACTTTTTTATTATTAATTGTCGTGTATATAATATTTATCAAAATAATTTTAATTTAAAATCCCAGGCCACTTCAAGATCACATACAATATGACATTTTAAGGCCGGTGTTACCTTGTATAACAAAAATTAAAAATAAAATAAAAGATGCCGAAAAAAATTTATGTAGATTTTTTTGTTAATAATATATTAATAGGGCTATACTATATAAGAATAGGGGTCCAAAATCAAGATCGAATATCTCAACTACGTCCATCTTAAATACAAGCGCCAAAAACCATGGTCCGAAATACAGTTTTTTATTTCTACAATAAACGACTCCAGTTGATGAAATGTAAGCCTTGAAACTTTTTTTATCGATTTATGAATTGTTTCATCTCTCAATGTAAATAATCTTCTTTGAACGGCAAAGGCAAAAAAGGCATCGATCTCTTCCGGCTTAGTTCCTAGATACATTCTATGTCCTCTCTTTGGAAGCGGTGCCGATTTTTCTCCCATAACAGCCTTCGGAGACTCAGTTTGAAGTGGTGATCATTAGATATCACGATCCATTTGAAGAAGTCGCCGATAACTGTTTGAAAGTGGGTCATGAAAACGTAGTCTTAGGTTAACCATTCTATCGGGAAATTTATCTAAGTACAGAGAGTTCGTATTCGTGTCCCATGCATAGCTTTTTCCAGTCAATCACGGTCTTGATCGTGAGGCCCATCGGGTCTGGCCAGCTTATCCATAGCTTGACCTGGTGAAGGACGGAGTTTACTCAGAAAGTCAAGTTAGTGAGTAAACTCTGAACATCGCCATGATAATAATGTATTAGTACGGATTAAATGTCAGATTTTCCGTGTTGTCGTCGTACAGCAGTTCCATTATTTCCTCTTAAGCCCCCAGCCGTATATCCATTACCCGTGGCCTTCTTCCGGTGAAGCTGTCGGAAAACACCGCCAAGCTAGCATTAAACTACACTTATATAAAAAAATAATTGATGTCAATAAATAAAAGCACGAATCACTAATTGACTACACCACAGAATATCACCTCAAGAATAAACAATGGATATGGCATTTGAAAAATGTTGATGTAACCTAATAAAGAATAGTATATATATATATATATATATATATATATATATGTATATATTGGAGAAATCTCAAGATATTAAACTATAATAATAATAAAAAAACATTTCTATTGTTTTTTTTTAAACATTTATTTATAATTTTTTTTATGTGAAAAATTGCCAAGCGAGCAGTCGGTTCATCTGATGTTAAATGAATACCACCACCCATGGACATCTGCTACACCCGAGAGTTGCAGATACGTTGACAACCTTTTGAAAATTGGGCTCCGGCTACCTCACTCACTAGACGAAACGCGAAAGTATTATACTTCCACTTGACGCCGTATAAGCCTTTAAGTATCACGACCTCACAGAAGATGTGAGGTCGTGATACTTACCCGGACGAGCCTGCCCATTCGTACAACAGCCGAGGCTGCTGCAAAACATCAAAATTCATTAATATAAACGTTTTTATTTATGTGACAAGGTACCAAATGAGCTAGTTGGTCACCTGATATTATATTGTAGCTATCGCCTATTGACATTTGCAACGCCCATAGGGTTATAGATGTGTTTGCCACCTTTTTATAAAGTAGGGCCCCGGGCTACCTCACTCGCCAGATGAAAAGCAGTAACACTTCCATTCCATTTCACAACGGTCTTCCGTGAGGTCTTGAACCCTAGTCGCATGTCATGATTTATCACGAATATTCATTTCGTAACTTTTGGATCCGATAATCTCAAATAAATCGCCATCAAAATTTTAACTTAAAAGTTAAAATCGATATATAGATTTTATATACCGATGTTTTATTGAGACAATTATGATATTTATGCATCCCTATTTACAAATCAAAATCTTGAAGTTTGATTAATGATGGCGTAAAGGTCCTTGATACCGAGCCATAGAATCCAAAAAAATTGACTTACATCTCGTCTTGACACTTGTCACTTGAGTCTTGTCAAAATACACTTGTCACTTGACTAAATATAATCAATATAGGTACTCAAAGAGTAGTTTTATATATCTGCATAATTATACTCTTCATAGAATAGAACGATTTAATTTGTTACAAAAAGTTTACAAATAATTATTCAAAGAAGTTAATTAATATTTATATATTTTATGATCATATTCTTTTTCGTTTTAAAGATTTTGTTCATTTATGTTATTTCTGTGGCAATAACATTCCATCAGTATAATTCCCATTGTGTTTTTAATATGATTGATATAAACAAGTATCTTGAAAGTCAGTTAGCTCTAGCTAAAGAAAAAAGTAATATTAAGAACAGTAAAGATGGAAAAGTGTCAAAGAAGAGTCAAAGTGTAGCTGAAACTATTGCAAGGAAGCAAAACAAAAATTTCCCTAATAAATCAAAGATAGTGAAATATGATTCTGAACAAACAAAAAAGGCCTGCAGCTCTGTAGAATATCCATCTGGAGACGACGATGAATACTTGCCTTCCAGTGACGAGGAGAAAACTGTACCTTTATCTCTTACTTTTCGTACAAAGCAAAACTTAAAAAAAATTGTTGATGATGGTGATCCAGCTGTTTTCAAAGATCGTATTGCTAATTGGAAGGAAAGTCTCAAAGCAATACAGTCAGGTAAAGATAAAATTGAGCACTATACTGCAGATATAGAATATCTTCTACAAGGAAACACAGATGCAGAAGAAAACCATGAACTTCAAAATAGTTTCCCCATTCCTAAATATATTTGGAAGCAATTATATAAATATCAGAGGACAGGAGTCAAATGGCTGTGGGAATTACATCAAGTGCAATCAGGTGGCTTATTGGGTGATGAAATGGGACTGGGGAAAACAGTGCAAATAATAGCATTTTTGGCTGGATTATCCAAATGCAATAGTGGAACATGGGCTGGTCTTGGACCATCAATTATAGTAGCCCCTGCAACAGTCATTTACCAATGGGTATCCCATTTTCATTACTGGTGTCCATATCTCAGGATTGCTGTCCTTCATCACTCTGGCTCACACAGTGGAAATCCTAATAAACTTTTGAGAGAAATTCAAGCATCACATGGTCTATTATTAATAACTTATGCTGGAGTAGTAAAATATAACAAAGAGTTATTATCTTATAAGTGGCACTATGTAATACTTGATGAAGGTCATAAAATAAGAAACCCAGATACTCAAGTCAGTAAATTTGTGAAAAAATTTAGGACTCCCCATAAAATTCTTATAACTGGATCACCAATGCAAAATAGTCTACAAGAACTCTGGTCCTTGTTTGATTTTATGAGGCCAGGACTGTTGGGAACATACAATGCTTTTATGGAACATTTTGCAGTTCCTATTACTCAAGGTGGATATGCTAATGCAACAGAATTTCAGGAAGCAACTGCTCTGGAAATAGCAAAAGCTCTTAAAGATATGATAACACCTTATATGTTGAGGCGCACTAAATCTGAAGTACAAGAATACATTCAATTACCAGAAAAAAATGAACAGGTATTGTTTTGTGCTTTGACACAAGAACAGAAGGATCTTTACATGGGTTACTTAATGACCACAACAGTAAGGAGTATTCTAGACAAAGAAAGCAGGTATGGTGACCCACTTCGTGCGAGAGTGCTTGTAGCTTTATCGACTTTGAGAAAAATATGCAATCATCCAGACATATATCTTTATGAGGCACAAGAAGATTGTGAAGAAATAAATGAAGAAACTTTTGGCCATTGGAAGAGATCTGGCAAAATGTGTGTTGTTCAGTCACTTTTAAAAATTTGGCAAAAACAGGGTCATAGAACTTTAATATTTTCACAGTCTAGGGCTATGCTCTGTATTCTTGAGCAGCACTTACATATTCAGGGCTATAAATACCTTAAAATGGATGGTACAGTTAGTGTAAGCTTAAGACAAAATTTAATCAAAACTTTTAATGATAACAAGGAATACCTTGTTTTTCTTGCTACAACAAGAGTGGGAGGCTTGGGAGTCAATCTTACTGGCGCTGATAGAGTTATAATATATGATCCAGATTGGAACCCAGCAACAGACAATCAAGCAAAAGAAAGGGCATGGAGGATTGGTCAACATAGAAATGTCACAGTTTATAGGCTTCTTTCGGCCGGCACAATTGAAGAAAAGATATATCAAAGACAAATCTTCAAAAATTTTTTAAGTAATAAAATCTTAATTGACCCAAACCAAAAGAATGTACTGACAACAAGTACATTACAAGGACTCTTTACTCTTGAAGAACCAAATTTTGAAGGAGACACTGAAACTGCGTCCCTTTTTAAACACACCAAAGTGAATGTTCATAAAAAAGACAAGAAAAAAAATGATAAAATACATTTAAGTGGTGGTGTCTCATTTTCAAAAAAGAAATCCGAAGTTATTAGAAAAATATCAAAAGAAATTACTAAAAGTCATTCAAGTAATATACACCCTGGCATCGACCCACGTCAAAGATATAAAAATAAAAGAGAACAGATTTTAAACCCACCAAGTGTTGAAGAACCTGAAATGAATTTAGTAGATGATGAAGTAACAAATATTCCATTTGAAAATGTCCTATCTGAATTAGATATTATTAACATACATGTGAAGAAGAATTATGAAGAAAACTTATTAAAAGAAGTTTTAAACCATCCCAATAAAGAGATGGAAGCAGGTGAAGAACTAGGCAGTTTGGATAGCAATAAAAGTTCTACAATTTGTGTTGCAGAAAGTTCAGTGATCTCAGCGCATACAGATGAATTAGTGATTCCACAAGTGAGTACTGATAGTATCAGAGACTTTAGTTTGAATGATTTAAAGCAGAAAAGGCCACGTTCCCCCTCCCCTGAACCAGTTATTGAAAATTTGGTAGCTATCAAGAGAGTTAAAAAAAAGAAATGTAAAGAAGAAAAAGATAAGAATATTAGTGATGATGATTATGTTTTGAGTAAACTTTTTGCCAAGTCTGCTGTCAAAAATGCATTACACCATGATGTAGTTGTTGGATTAGCTGAGAAAGAAAAGAAGCATAGAATCAAAGAAGAAGCCACTAAAAGGGCAAAAAAGGCAATTAAAGCAATAAAGTTGTCTTCAAAATAAATATGAAATAATTAAATAAACAAACGATTTATAAATTAATTTATGAGTATTATTTATCTTTAAAATGTGCTACAAAATATTTTCGCCGCTTTGTCAATTTCTCTGACACTCAAACTCAATCAGGTAATTTTATCAAAAATCTAATATTACTTAAACTTGTTTTAAATTACTTCAAATATCGATATATCGATATTTTCTATTTAGGCCCTGTTATAAAAAAAAAAACAATAGTGCGTGGGACTCCGGGCGGAATCAGTGAAACTTCGAGTGCCACGCATTCACTTTTGCTCTGTCTCTTTCTATTCCCTCTCTCCAGAAATGTTGAACGTAAGTAGAAGTATTAAATATTGAATTTACGGATTTGTCCCAGATTTATATTTGAAAAAAAAAATAGTTTTTAATAGGATTTCGATATTGATTATTTAATATCGATATATCGAATCAAAATATATCTTCTAAAAATATCGATATATTTATTAAAAAATATCGATATTATTTCGCATCCCTACATATCTGATCTGACTGACCATCTGTCAGATTTGTCGTTTCTCGTTTATTTGTGTTGTTGATTGATTAGATTTAAACGTTAGTTTTATTATGGATTTTGTATTTTTCAAGTTACGTTAATTTTAAAATAAAACTCGAATACGGTACATAACTTGCGTAAATTATAATTAATAGACTTAATTAAGAACATAGAACATCTATACTTCAAGGAGAAATACATGGCAAAAACGACAAAATAATAATTTTTATTATTAAAATAAGTACTACAAAAAATATGGCAGCGGCTTTTCAGCAACAAATATTCGCTCTTGATGCTCGGTTCAATGCTTACAGGGCACCTGGAAATCCTAATTTTAGTAAGGATTTTTTTTATTAAATATTTTCTTTGTTCACATTCATTAGGTTTTACTCGCAGACTAGTAAGATAATTGATGGTAAAAATTTCCTTAAGTTTCCGGGTGTTTTCGACCAAACAAAAAGTTTATTCGGTTAAGAACAATCACTAATGAAATAATCAACAATCAGAATTTGGCGGTCGCTTGTAGTTTTCGAGAAAAAAAATATATTTAAAACTTGTTATTTTCACTAAATTAATCCGCCATTTTATGTTTGACAACATGTATAAATTTACGATTTCACACACTTTTCCAAATTATAACCTTCGCATTATTAAAAAAGAGTCTTTAAAAATACTAAAAGTACTGTTACACTAAAGTTTTCTGGGTGGTCATAAAAAAAAACTTAACCTTCTAGCCTAACCTATCCGAGTCGGATCGCTCTGTGTCGGATCTGTCACTCTTAAAATTAAAAGAAAATTAATCTTCGCCCACTTCCTATATTTTTCATGTTGGCGGTACTGTGTATTCAGTTTTTGAAGTCAAATTGGTAAAAATGGTGCACTTTCTTAGTGAAAATTACGTTTTAAATAATTTATTTTCTCGAAAACTATAAGCAACCGCCAAATTCTGCTTCGTGAGTATTTTATTAATGATTTTTCTGTACCTAATTACATTTTTTTTACGTCCAAAAACACCCGGAAACTTAAAGAAACTAATACCTAATTTATTTTTATAATCCTTGTTTTTACTTCTTAAAAGTAAATATTTTAATATTTTAATATTTTATTGTCAACTAGCTGAACCAGACCACGCTTAACTGTAGCTGTAGCCATTTAAACTTCCCAATAAGTAATATAAGATGATTATAATTTTTTAGAAACACTGTATATTCGACGACGCAGTCAGCTTCTAAGAGAAAATGCGAAATTTAAGGTAAGTTTTATTGCATTATTATTTTTGAAACAAAGTTTATTAGTAAAACACGAAGCATGTTTTCAAATAAAAAAAAATAAAAAAAAAATAATGCTTACACCTTGATATGAGTTTTTTTGAAAACCTACTTTAAATTAAGGCAATATTTTGTCATTTGAGTTCTATTTTTATAGTTAAGTCATTCAAATTCTACTATTTGTGAGTACTTGTAAAAACATCTGTTTGCCTATTGCAGGATATTGAAACAATTAAAAAATATATAAATGTAAGAAGTCAGTTACTGCAGCGAAAGTATGGAGTTCAGGACAATATTTCAATTAGTTCAGCATCTTCTCGGGCTAGATCAAGTAGTAAAGTAAGTTAAAGCTTTTATGTACACAAACAACCATCACACATACAACTACATGAAGAGACAGAACTACAAAGCTAATAGTCTACATATTTATTGTTCATATACTGTTGGGCAAAAGCCTTCTCTGTACAGAGAGTATGGGCACAGTGCATCATGCATTGATTACCTTATATTAATTTACCTCATACCTTCTACAAATTGGCAGAGATCACATATCTTCAAATGATTTTTTAATTATTATTTTGAAAATATATAGGTTTCTGAGATGTTTTCCTCACATCTGACAGGTGAAAATTCTGCACATAAAGTTTCAATTATGGCACTGGAGCTTGAACTTAGGTGCCAGAGCGTAAATGGAGTGTCCAAATGCTGCACTATCATGGCTCACATGGATAGTTCTGTACAAGTCAAATATAAGCATTAGCATTTAAGACAATGCCAAGTGTTAAGAATAACAAATGTATTGCCTTTAAATGGTATATAATTTATATGTATATTACTCAAATTGTGTTCATAAGGCATTTTAGTGTACTATGATTGCTTCCACCTGAATAATATGTGTATTTAATCGGTTTCACACTACAATTATGAATCTGACGCTTTTATTTTTATCTAAATTGTATTTTGTAAAATATTTCGAAAATTTCAGGCAAGCTTGGCTGTCGATGATGTAGTTGGCAATGCATCTAAGAAAAAAAGTGACTTATCAATATCTGAAAACTATGCATTCTCTGGAGTTCACCACATATTTGACCAGGTGATTTCAAGAATCTTTATTTGTGTTTTACATTTCATAACATTGTGAGCTGGCCGGAAAATAATGAACTTGTAATAAGTACATGAGTTTAAGGAGTTGTAATAGTTTTGATAAAACTTGATTAAAAAACTAGACTAAGTTAAATATATAAAATTTTTATATGTAAAAAGGGGTGACTGTAAAACAAAGTAATTTTGTTTCAATTAATGTCTAGTTATATTATTAGTGAAATAATTATAAAGCTATTAAGTTGCTCACAACCTTGAGTCGTTATATAAAATGATAAAAAGTACTAAAAAGTACACTGGGCTTCAATATGGATCCTGGGCACATGCTACATGTGCTTTAGTGGAAAAACAGTAACAAAGACACAGTGGGAATTGAAAAACAGAAATGTAAACTGTGGTAATTGTGTGAACCATTCATGAGGTGAATTGATTATTTTTTTTTATAAAAGCACACCGAGGAGGTCAGCGTTGTGAAATTCGCAAACAACGACCGTTCCAAGCTGTGTTGTGCGTCCAGTGATGGAACAGTCTCCATTTGTGACGTCATCGCGACCCCGCCGAAAGTGTCCTTCATACTAGACGGCCACAGCAAGGCGGTTACGGGTAGGTAACAAATGCGAGGTTCTGAGCAGGTCACACTCACGAGGGCGGAACAACGGTCTTGTACTGTTTGTCAGTAAAGCTTGTGTTGCACGAATGGGCAGACTCGTCCTGGGTACTATAGCCTCACAGAAAATCGCCCTGAATTGAAAGTATTATACTTTTGTGTATCAAACGGATTTCATTTCTAGGGAGCAGAAACTTCTTATATAAACAATTATCTTTTATATTTGAGAAAAAAGGAGGAAAATGAGGAATTTTGTAAATTAAAACTTGGATAGTCTTTAAAATAATGAAAAAACTAGAAATATTTTAGGTGTGTATATATCTTTTTCTTAATCACGTGTGCTTTTTCAAAATATACATCTGACATCGTATTTTGTTTCAAAATAAAAATAAACCTCCGAAAGAAAGCGTTCAATGTAGCTGCTAGAGTTACAGAAGACTGTTGTTGCTCGGTCGGCTCTCGGTTGATATTCCTCGGGCGTTGGCCAGGCTGCGACTGGTCCGCGTCGAACGAGCTGCTGGTGACCTGCGGGCTGGACGGGGCGCTGTGCCTCTGGGACGTGGCGCGCCGGCGGCGGCTGCGGGTGGCCAGGGACCAGCTCGCGGCGCCGCTGCTCTGCTGCGCCTTCCAGCCGGCGAACAACAACATGGTCATCGTATCCTTTGCACGGGCGGGCTCCAGTGGACTGCGTCTGCAGCCCAGGCGGGGGGAGGGGGGTGCTTCTTTCGTAACCCGCCCAGCCCCTCCTCCCCCTCCTTTTTTCTCCACTATGAGTTTTAAGAGAAGCAAAATGAAGGAAAACCGCTCAGTGCTTTTGATTGATTGGTGTGTCGAAAAAGTCTTCAGCCGTGATTTTCCTTAATGAGAATTTAAGGCGGGAAACGCACGAGGGATGGTCGAAGTGCTGAACGTGTCGACCGGAATCTATCCCAGAGGTAAGCTCCTAAATAATTATATAACACGCCCACACGTAATGGACATAAAAATATCTCAATTACATTATATTATCCTGTGTTGGTGTTAAAAAGGTCCTATTTATATGCAGATAAAAACTTAGTTAACGCAGTTGCTAAGTCAGGCGAAGGAGGCTTCGGGCGCCGGGGTTCTGGGTTCGACACCCAGACGGGATATGTATTGATTGATATGATCCTGATTTCGGGGTAAATTTCGAGAAAGGTTGACGTGAGCCAAGCTGCCAATCACGGATAAATGAGATAAGGGCACGAGGCTTACGCCCGGTTTATGAAAAACTTGTTCGGGAGTATAATCAGGTGTTGAATAAAAAATGCTTAGAAAGATGTTAACGACTTCTATTCAAATTATACACTGACGGTTATAAGAAGGTCAATGACATTTAATTATCAAAATTTTAATTAGACTATAAATTAAAATGTGGTATAATTTCTGAACACCACTGATCATCGTGGAAGTCAACTAATCAGCTGTGAAATGGATTTTCAAAAGTTATTTGGGTTGCCAAAAGAAATGTTACTTATTAAACTCTCTGAATTGATCAGAATGATCTTCTTAATGATCAGAATGATCAATTCAAAGAGTTTAACATTTATTCGCTGATCATCATGATCAGTGTTTCAAAAACCGGGCGTTTATAGATTTAAATAAAAACCCGTCGATCGAAACAAAATACATAGGCTGAGTGTATCAGTATAAAGAACAATGCCCATTTTTGACCTGATTGTGTATAGAAGTGAAATAAATATTAAAATTTAGCTAATTTCATTTTATAGTAATTACACTAATCACAATGTTAAAAGAAGGTCGGGAATTTTTTTTTTGATATTTCTTTAAGCTTATTTTACTTCAAGGGTAAACATATTACCATGTTTTGAACGCACCTTAACAATCCTTTGCATAGGACGTTCCATTTTTCACACTACATAATTGACTGTATTCAACTTTTTCTGAGTTTTGTACGTGGTTTTTTAGAGAAATGAGTAAGCACGTAATTAACAGTATTTGTATAAAAATTAAGATCAATCTTATTTGTAGTACAGATTTATTAAAAATAAAATAATAAATTATTAATGCAGCATGTAATAAAGTTCCCACGGCTGACGTAAATGGATTTTTTTGACATTTGACAGTTCTGCGAGTGACATAGACTCATCGGTATTCGCCAGTAACTGTGAGTTAGGTTCTGTAGATTCGAATTGACGTCTTCTTGCACCTCATTCGCTCTCATTTTAATTTAATTGTTTTTATTGTATTACATCTTAATTTTCATGGTGTATTAGTGATTATCGTAGAAAATTGAGTAGATTTTTGTTATTAATAACATAAAGTATAAATTTTACGAAAATAATTAAAATTTTTAAATGTAGATTTGTGACGCCAATTTGACATCTCATTTTTTTCATAATTTTAGTGTAGCTGGAATTCTGCGTTACCAATTGTAAGTATTTAAAACATTTAATTTGTTCTAATATCTATATAATGGATTCTGAACCGCCTGACCCTGGAGGTGGCAACAATATTGTTTCTTCGGATACATCGGATCCTTCAACAAAATTAATATCATTGTCAAGAAAACGTACCCAGGAGGATTCGTCTTATGTACAGTCCTCTAAAAAGATCATTACTGACCCATCCCAATCCACTCCATCTATCCAATTGTCTTATGTCCATCCTGATTTCATTTCAACAAAGACAAAATACTCTGATGAGGACCCTGGTCCTTTCATTGTTCTCATCAATAAAACTGTTAATGACCATTCTGCTGGCACCTCATTGAAACCCATACAGTTTGGCCAATTTCTATTTTGTAACAAAATTCAAAACATTCTTAATAATGGTGTTAAAAAAGTCGGAAGAAACAGAATTTCTGTTCAATTCAAATCAGCCAGAGATGCTAATACTTTTGTGAACATCCTTCTCTCTCCCTAGCTAACTATGAAACTATAATCCCTTCATACAATATTACTCGGATGGGTATTATAAGAGAGATTCCAGTGGATTGGAGTATGGAAGATCTAGTGAATGCTTTAGAGGTTCCCTCTGATTTTGGCACTGTTATTAAGGCTCGTAGATTGAATAGAAGGATTACTATAGATAATAAAAATTCTTGGGTCCCTTCACAAACTGTGGTTCTTACATTTAGAGGACAAAAACTGCCCTCACATGTATATTGCTTCTATAATTCTATTCCTGTTGAAACATATATTTTACCATCTATCCAATGCTACAAGTGCTGTAGATTTGGCCATGTCACGTCACAGTGTAGATCCAACCCCCGATGCTTCAAATGTGCGCAAAATCACGAAGGTGTTACATGTTCCAAAGAAAACCTTTCATGCCTTTTTTGTCTTGGTCCTCATTCCGCTAAAAATACTTCCTGTCCTGAACATCTTAGGCAGAAATCGATAAAAATGGTTATGTCGCAAGATAACATCTCTTATTTAGAAGCTTCGGCTAGATTCCCTCAAGTGAGGAGATCTTTTGCTGATGCTGCCAGACTAACTTCATCTGTCATTATAGAAAAGGAACCCACATCTTCAAATAATATCCAGAGTTCTTATAAAAAAACAGTTTCCATTCCCCGACGTCCTCTTTCCCAACCCAATAAATTTGGATTTGACAAACATGCCCATAATTCTATTATAGGAACTCCTTCGTCAGTTCTTCCTGATGGGTGTGCTCTTAGAGAAAAAAAAGATATTTCTTCAAATGACAATCTTTTGGACTTACTTTTATCTACACTTATAAATATAATCTCCCGTTATAATGATACTGAGCTTCCAATTAATTTAAAATCTAAACTTACTGAGCTTCTCTCCTTATCGGTTAACATTCCCAACCCTCCTTCAATGGAACTGTAGGAGTATTAAGCATAAAAAAAATGAACTTTTGTTTTTAATCCACCAGTACAATCCAGCCATTTTTGCTGTCCAGGAGATGTGGCTACAACCTGGGGCACATTTTAGAGTCCCAGGATACTCATGTCTCCGTGAAGACAGAATTGATGGTCATGGAGGTGCTGCAATTTTAGTCTCCAGAAAATTTACATTTAGTCAAATTCTTCTTCCACCACCACATAACGAATCTATTAATATTGTTGCAATTAGAGCATTTAATTCTACTATTATATCTATATACATTCCTGTTCCAAGTTTGTCAATACTCACTGAGCTTTACTCTATTATTTCTTCTCTTTCTCCTCCGCTTGTTATTCTTGGAGACTTTAATATTCACCATACATCATGGGGTTCTCACTTTTGTGATTATTTATCTTCTTCATTCTTAGACATATTAGACAATTGCAATCTTTGTGTGTTGAATGATGGTTCTCCAACACGCCGTGTTTCACCATCTCAAAATCTAAAAAGTGCTGTGGACCTGTCATTGTGTTCTTCAGAACTTGCCTCAATTCTCTGTTGGAGTATTTTGGCTTCTACTCATGGTAGTGATCACTATCCTATACTTATTTCAGACCCTATACTTAATTCCTTGGATTCTATTCCTAATTTTTGTCCCAGACTAAAATATAATCTTGGTAAAGGTGACTGGTCTAAATATGCTTCTTTTACAGATGAATTCATAAATTCTGTTCAACCATTGAGTCCTGAGAGTTTTTTATCTTCTTATTCTGATTTTAAAAATATGCTCATATCTTCAGCAGATAAAGCATTCCCCCTTAAAAAACAATATAAAACTCCAATTCAATCCCCTCCTTGGTGGGATCAAGAATGCTACAATGCCTGCAGAAAAAGAAAGGAAGCTGAAAGAATTTATGCTAAATCCATGACTCTTCAAAACTTTATGGCATATCAAAATGAAGCAGCAAAAACTGTTAAAGTTTTATCATCCAAAAAGAGGGCAGGTTGGCACAAGTTCTGTGAATCTCTGTCCCCTGCCACACCCTCTTCTCTAGTCTGGAGAAATATTAAAAGATTCCGTTGTGGTGTATCACATAATTTCAATATATCCTCAAATAATACTGCACCGTGGATTGAATTATTTGCTCAAAATTTAGCCCCTCCTATTGCTCCATCTTTTCAGGAATCAATGATTTATTATAATTCCCCTTTAACATCTGCAGAATTTTTTGACAGACCTTTTTCTCTAGAAGAACTTTCAATTGTTTTAGGATCCCTTAAAGATTCTTCGCCTGGAATTGATCGTATTCCTTATTCTTTTATATCTAAAAGTGGACCAAATACTAAAATATTTTTTCTTAATCTTTTAAACCACATCCTGTCTTCCGGTGTTCCCCCAGATGAATGGAAAAAGCAAATTATCATTCCAGTTCTCAAACCTGGGAAACCCAATAATGATCCACATAGTTATAGGCCAATTGCTCTATCCTGCACTATGGCTAAAATTCTTGAGCACTTAATAAAGAATCGTCTAGAATGGATTATAGAAAGCAAAAAAATACTACCTAAAAGTCAATTTGGTTTTAGAAAAGGTATTGGTACTATTGATAGTTTAAGCACTTTGATTACTGATATCCGTATAGCCTTTTCAAAAAGAGAATATCTTGTAGGGGTGTTTCTTGATGTTTCATCTGCCTACGACAATGTTCTTCTCCTTTACTTAGACATAAATTGCTCAACCTAGGAATTCCTTTGAAATTAGTAAACTTTATTTTTAATCTCCTCTCGGGTAGATGTATCCTTTTAAATAGCCAAAATACTTTTCTTCCTCCTCGATCTGTCTGGAAGGGTCTTCCCCAAGGGTCTGTTCTAAGTCCCTTGCTGTATAATATATACACATATGATCTTGCCCTTTCAGTAAACTGCTTCTGTAATATCCTACAATATGCTGATGATTTGGCTCTCTATGTCTCTGTAGATGATATTTCCATTGCTCAGTCTCGACTCAATACCTCACTCTACTATCTCCAAAATTGGCTGAATGATAACGGGTTATCTATATCAATTCCCAAAAGTACTATTGTTATTTATTCTCAACATAG